TGCACTCAAGCTCACATGCTAGTCAGAACAGTCTGTGTCAGAACAGCAGTCCACGTGAATAATATTTCGTTCGTTAGTTTTATTGTTAACTCAGGTAGAGTTTGCTGTTACACGCTCTATGTATATATCGGCATTTGTTAGCTATTATCTCTGCAAGGAATCAGAGACTTACCCGCCGTGTGCAAAGCTAGGCTGCACGTCACATTGTCACTGTACAATTTTGTACTATCGGCAAAAACAAGGCTTTTGAATTCCCAATATCTGGAACGTCATTAATATACAAGACAAATAAAGCTGGACCAAGGACACTTCCCTGTGGTACACCACTTGTTACTGGCTTCCAACATGATGTGTATCCATTTACTGATACTTGCTGTTGTTGGTCTGTTAAAAATTCCCTTATCCTACTCCTCGTCTGTTTTGATACTCCATACGACTCAAGCTTATAATCAGTCTTCTGTGGGGTACTTGTAAAAATGTTTCAATTTTGTTCCCTTTATTTCTCCAGAAGTTCGGTATAAAGCTGAATAATTGAGATCATTTGAGGACTTGTTTCTTAAAATTATTTGGAATTAGCTTTCGTGTTTATTCACGTGAAGTCCCCTCTCTTGTTGTTATATCTTGTCAACCTATGCCCCTTTGTATGCTTGCTTTGTATAAGTTAATCGCAGTCTTGTATAAAAATAATACCACAGACTTAGATACAGTCTACAGATATAAGTCAGTAGAATATTATTGAATTAGAGTGACGTACCTGTATCACAATACTTACACGATTCAATCGGAAAATTACTGCGCTTTTTAATGACATCCAGTTAAGGATGGTCTTCTTCATATTTCAGGTTGAAAGTAATAAACAATATCTGGTTAAATTTCAGCCTTAAGCATGCGTTTTGTTGTACAAATATAGATACGAGTTTATCTGTCAAGAAGTAGTACGACAATCAATTTTTTAAATATAAGGTGTAGATCATTCGGAACTCCTCGGCCTCGTCCGTCTCGTAATGCAGTGATCCTGATAAACAGCACATTACTAACCCGACTGAACGTATACGTAAGTAATAAACCTAAGGATGGTATTCTTCATATTTAAGGTTGAAAGTAATAAACAATATCTGGTTAAATTTCAGCCTTAAGTAGCTTAACATGCGTTTTATTGTACAAATATAAAGATATGAGTTTATTTGTCAAAAAGTAGTACCACAGTCAATTTGAAAAACCAGGGACGTACCTGGAAAAACATTAGGCTTTCTAAACGTAGGCCTACAGTGAATACAAAACGAAAACGGAAGTGTGTAGATCATTCGGAACTCCTCAGCCTCGTCCCTCTCATAATGCAATGATCATGATATTTAGCACATGAATAACCCGACTGAACGTAAGTATAAATTGCAAACGTTAATTAAATTGGTCAACAAGATTATCAGATGTCTTAAATTTGATAATTGTGAGTTTTAGTATCGTATATTTAGTCTAGTTGTGGTGTCTAACATCTTTATGGTCCATGTATGTAGGATACAGACATTTTGCATTAGCTTGTATATTACATTTCATGTACATGTATTTAGGATACAGACATTAACACTAGTTTGTTACTGATAAAAAAATTAATTGGACAGGCTTGCAGTACATGTAAAATGATCGTTTAGGAAATTGAAAATGTATTCGTATTGGATTCAGCAAAACCAGTGCGCTGATGAAAATGACCCATGTTATTCAAAGATTTTAAATTTTAAAATAATATGTTAATTATTGTCACATTTCAGAGTTACAGAAAATCGAGGAAATAAAGAGGTAGTGTGATTTTTATTTGTAACAAAGTCTTTTTTGCTCAAAATTAGTTGAAAAAGTATGTCAAACAATTGAAAATTTCTATCTTGCACAAACAATAAGGATGTACTCCCCTGAGGAATAAAAATAATTCTTCATGTTAACATTATTATGATATTTTTTTCCACAAATCATTTTGCCATATTTTATTGAAGGCCAATTGAAATTAATAAAAATAAGCTCTAGTCTCCTTCTTATTATATATTATCAATTTAAACATACTGTCGATGGTGAATATTTCTTATGAAATGTGATATGGTTTTCTCATGTCAAGTCAAATTCTAAGCCTGTTCCAGAGAGTTTCTTTGTACATATTATTTAGAAATGGTATTTAACAACTTAACTTAAATATTGACGATTTTAAAATAATGATATTTTATATATATTTGTCAATGATTTAATCATCAGAGGAAGGTTTAATGCTTTTAAATACATTAATTGCATGTTCAAGATATAGGTTCTGAAAAGTGTCATATTTTTGTATCAATAATATGACATAGTTTTTTACAACAAACAAAAACATTATGTGCTTTTCTCATTGTTTCCAGTACACTAGTGTCTTTATTCCAGGAACCAATTTTGTTTCGTTGTCTTATTTTCATGTTGTAGTCCTAAGTCATCTAATATGATAATTTATTGGGTTTACCTATGTTTTATGAATTGTAATATACTTTTTGTTGTTGAAATTTGATTGATTAAATTCTTTAGTAACAACAGTTCAAGATTATCAAATCATCATTTAAATATGAAGAAACTTATCATGTGAAACACAGGTAAATCTTGGTTAAAAGACTTTGTGGGAAAAATATATATGAAATGGTATATAAGTGACTGGCCATCATTTCCTAAAACAACATCGTCCTATTGCATAAAACTAATTGATGTTCAGAAAACAACTCCTCCAGGACCTGAGGTCTGTGCACTAGGAAAACTAATCTAAGCAGGAACTGTTCATATTTCAATCAATGTCAAATGACCTTTATTTAAGTTTAGTAATGACTTATGAATACATGTAAAGTAGAGTTTATTTTTTAAAATTAAATATGAGACAAGTTAAAAGTGTCCAAATTATAGGTCATGCAGGTCAGTTCTTTAATTTTCAATCCATATGTAATATGAAGGAATGAAACATGCCCTGCCACTGCTATAGTTCAAATCAGGAACCCTTAAGTCTCTAGCTGAACACTACTGCTTGACCAAAGGGATATTCCCATGAGCCGAGGCAAGTAAGGCGGCCTTTACTTTTAATTTCAACTCTACTCACCTCCTTCGCAAGGTCTTTGACCCCGATGACAACAACAACCCAGGTTCAATATCTCTAAGGGAGTGGTCAGTCTCACAAAATCTATGTTATTCTCCCCTTCACAAATTCTTTGACCCTGAAAACAACAACTGAGGTTGTATATCTCAATCTCCTATAGCTTCTACCCTTAAAATGGTCAACGGCACCAAATCTGTAAAAATAAGGAGTTATGAAATATAGTGTTTGTTCCCTCTAGGGTTTGAACTAGTGACCCTTCAGTCTCTAGGTGGGTACTCTACCACATGATGATTAACTGGTTCTACTTAATTAGTCAGAGAAGCTGACTGACAGAGATGGTATTTAACACTACAAGAAACAGACCAACTTGCTCCTTTTACACATATTGATCAAGCATTTTTACCAAAGCATTTTGTGTCTCATATGTGTGCGAGGACGAGGGATGAACAATGTATGCAGACAAAGTTGTCTCTTCATGGTGCATTGTGTGATCCCACAACTGTACATAACATTTAAGAAACACTTGCTGTGTGTTTAGATATAATAGATTTCACTACAGACCTGACTCTATTGAAAGGGTTGTGGAAATAAACACTTTGCAGGTGTCTCTGAAAGGCACATAACAGAACGGTCAATTAATATCACATCATATGTTGAACAACAGTATCACAAAAGATTGTTAAGTGTTTACTTGGAAATATTAGCCAAGGCTTTTTCTTTTAGAAAAAAAAATAATTTTCTTTCATTGTTAATCATGTTTGCATTAAAATCTATAAAACAAATGTACAGTTGTAATACTTTAGCTGACCATTTATTTCATCCCAAATGGCAAACGAGCAAAATGGAAAGAAGTTAAACTGCAACAAATGTTTCACACTATAAATGTAAACAGTATATCTGTTAATAATGAAGCCCATCCTCTGTTTGTGGAATCAGAGGTTTAACCAACCCATAAGGCATATTGCAAGATAAATCAATTATCAGACACTCAAGGATATACTCTTGTGATGTTTTGATAGGAAGTATGACATAATTCAATATAAATATATATATGACATCTTTTGTCTTTTTACATACTTTGGCATATGGAGTTGTATTTATAAGTTGAAAAGGGGTGATTTAAACGACCATTTGAAGAATTTTTGCTTGTGGACTACATTTTGTGACCGTGCGATGGATGGCATGATTCATTTAGTAGTATTAACAACTGTTAACTGTGTTTTCTGGTTGCTTATGTACTTCTCTTGAGTATAACTCTTGGGTAAATTTCAAATAAATTTTGCATGAATTATCACCAGAGATCACAGATTTCAAATTTGTGAATTCTGATTTTCCTGGATTTTTAAGACCTGAAAATAAATATTTCAGCTTGTTTCTTGATCTTGGAAAAACTGGTTATTCATGTGAAAATTAAAAAAAATAAAGCACAGTGACTCTTATTTTTTTATCATGAAAACTATCTTTGAAAATTCCTCTATCAAAATGAAGTCTTCAAAAAGCTAGAAAATGGTCCCATAAAAAGATTTCTGTCATTTTGGAACATTTTCCTTTTTTGGTTGCTATGCTCTTCAAAGCTCCTTAAATCAAATGAAAACTTAGCATTTCCCATGATTTTTCTCTCATGGTCCAAGTATCATACCCTTTCATTGTGATGAGAGAAAAATTTTATTTGAAAAAAAGGATGGCATTTAAAATAACGAATCGTCTGTTATTCAGGAAAAGAAAATAGAATAATATAGGAAAATTAATTATTTCCTGCAATACAATTATTCTGACACCTGTACTAGAAAAAGTAGTGCAGTGTCATATTGATTTTTTTCTTCCAATTTAATTTCTGAAATCAAACCTTTCAAAAATAATAAAAAAAAGTGTAATACTGGATTTTTTTTACTTCTCAAAGGAGTACATCTTTAAGTATTACACTCACTGAAAATGAAATATTTTGTTTGGCTTTCCCAAATCTTTTCTTTACAGGACGCTGAGGATGGAGGATCGATATGACATTTACTCTGACAACATGAAAAGACTGTCTATCTCTGTAGTAAATTCTGATTTTGGAAAGGGGTATGATTCTCTGAAAAGTTCAAAACTTAACAAAGGCATTCTGCCTTTTAAAAATTACTTTGGATTTGACGTGCTCAGAAAAGATGTACATACGAATGTGTCATATTCTGGTTTTCAAGGACTCATTAATGAAGGTAAGTGTTATGCTCTTGTTTTATTGGTAAGTCAGGGCTATTCTTGAGGAAAAATCAGAACTTCATTATTAGCTCACCTGGCCCAAAGGGCCAAGTGAGCTTATGCCATAGCGCGGCGTCCGTCGTCCGTCGTAAGTCGTACGTCCGTCTGGCGTCGGTCAACTTTTCATTTAAACAACTTCTTCTGAAATACCGAAAGGCGTAGAGTTATCATATTTGGCTGGAAGGTTCCTTTGATGTAGCCCAACAAAGTTCGCAAACAGAAATGACCTTGACCCATATTCAAGGTCACAGAGGTCAAATGTGTTAAAACCTTTAAAAAACTTCTTCCAAAATACCAGAAGGCCTAGAATCATTATATACAGCTGGAAGGTTCCTTAGATGAAGCCCAACAAAGTTTGCAAAAAGAAATGACTTTGACCCATATTCAAGGTCACAGAGGTCAAATGTGTTAAACAATTTAAACGACTTCTTTCAAAATCCCAGAAAGCCTAGAATCATTATATTAAGCTACTATGTTCCTCTGATGTTTATCCAACAAAGTTTGGTAAAAGAAATGACCTTGACCCATATTCAAGGTCACAGAGGTCAAATGTGTTAAAACATTTAAACGACATCTTCCAAAATACCGGAAGACCTAGAATCATTATATACGGGTGGAATGTTCCTTTGATGAAGCCCAACAAAGTTTGCAAAAAGAAATGACCTTGACCCATATTCAAGGTCACAGAGGTCAAATGTGTTAAAACCTTTAAAAAACTTCTTCCAAAATACCAGAAGGCCTAGAATCATTATATACAGCTGGAAGGTTCCTTAGATGAAGCCCAACAAAGTTTGCAAAAAAAAACAACAATAACCTTGACCCATATTCAAGGTCACAGAGGTCAAATGTGTTAAAACCTTTAAAAAACTTCTTCCAAAATACCAGAAAGCCTAGAATCATTATATTTGGCCAGTATGTTCCTTTTATGAAAACCAAAAAAGTAAAAGAAATGAACTTGACCCATAGTCATGTTGGTCATAAAAGATCCAGGTGAGCGATACAGGCCCTGTGGGTCTCTTGTAAATTAATGTTGTTTGTTAAATTCATTATTTATCAAATCAAAGTTTCTTGTAATGTTAAAAGATGCCAACTTATATATCATTATAATCACATACACTACATCACCACTTTTTGAGTTAATGACTAAGCCTAATTACAGTCTTTTTATTGGTCATCTATACATGGCCCAAAGGGCCAGGTGGACCTAGAGTCTTCATTATATGCCATGCGTAAATTTTTTTTATAGTACATTGTTCCACTGGTGCCATTGAGCTGAAAATTGGTGGGGGTGTATAGAAAGAAAAGCTCTCATGCTCAAGGGGGCTGAGAAGAGCCTTTTATACAAAATTGATTTCCCTTCACCTAAGAATGCTTCAGACCAGATTTAACAGAATGCAATCATTTCTACAGGAGTAGATTTGCTATATTTCCCAGTTTGGCTCTGCCCCTCCTATCCCAGGGGGCTGATACCTACCATTTATACAAAATTTATTCCCTTTTATCTAATGGACAATGGATGTATCGTGGTACGGCATGATTTCACCAGTCCTATGGACCAGATGAGCTGAAAATATATTTAGAACTTCATTCCCAGTTCCACTGATGCAATAGGACTTTTGTGGAAATGTTTAGGAACTTAAATGAAGAATCATTTTGCCCTTATTTCAACTACTGCTGTTCGCAGTGTGTCCTATATAGGTATTTATAGTCAGATGACTTAAGGGCCACGGGCTTCTTATTCAACTAGCTGTTAGATGGTGTTAAAATTAGTTAAATTTGACCTTTTAAATTGTTATTGAATTCAGATTCTGTAACATTAACTAATGCAATGTTAGTATTTGATAAGCTTTGCCATGTTGCCAGCCAAAGTTTTTATCAAACATGCCTTAGCATGAGCAGGTACATAATTTTATATTCATGGATTTTATTTTTTAAGTGAAGAGTGAAATGAAGCGGCACTGTAAGAAAGGTTGCATAGCTATGACAATCAGCTCTCATGGAAAGATTGAAATTAAGGATGGGAGGATGAACCATCTCCTTTTATGTAGCGAATATAAATCAAATGACAACGAAAAGACATTAAGATGGTTTCCCACAAATTATCTTGTGCAGGAGGTCAGGGAATGTTTCAATGGTCCACTGATCATTTTGATTCAGGTATAATTTTCCGGTTTTGATAAAGATTTATATGCTATTGGTCTCGGTGAAAAACAGCATGAAATATTTTACTTAAAAAGAATAAACACATGTTTAATGTCCAGGCCAGTAGGCTGATAAGGTTAGATTAATCAGGCCTGTAGCTGGTGTGATTAAAAATGATCATAACATTATAGGCCTGTATGTTGGTGGGATGGAGGGTGATCATGACATTAGGCCTGTATGTTGGTGGAAAGGAGAGTGATCATGACATTGGACCTGTATGTTGGTGGGATGGAGAGTGATCATGACATTAGACCTGTATGTTGGTGGGATGGAGAGTGATCATGACATTAGACCTGTATGTTGGTGGGATGGAGAGTGATCATGACATTAGGTCTGTATGTTGGTGGGATGGAGAGTGATCATGACATTAGGTCTGTATGTTGGTGGGATGGAGAGTGATCATGACATTAGACCTGTCTGTTGGTGGGATGGAGAGTGATCATGACATTAGGTCTGTATGTTGGTGGGATGGAGAGTGATCATGACATTAGGTCTGTATGTTGGTTGGATGGAGAGTGATCATGACATTAGGTCTGTATGTTGGTGGGAAGGAGAGTGATCATGACATTAGACCTGTATGTTGGTGGGATGGAGAGTGATCATGACATTAGACCTGTATGTTGGTGGAAAGGAGAGTGATCATGACATTGGACCTGTATGTTGGTGAGATGGAGAGTGATCATGACATTAGGTCTGTGTGTTGGTGGGATGGAGAGTGATCATGACATTAGACCTGTATGTTGGTGGGATGGAGAGTGATCATGACATTAGTCCTGTATGTTGTTGGGATGGAGAGTGATCATGACATTGGACCTGTATGTTGGTGAGATGGAGAGTGATCATGACATTAGGTCTGTATGTTGGTGGGATGGAGAGTGATCATGACATTAGGTCTGTATGTTGGTGGATGGAGATTGATCATGACATTAGGTCTGTATGTTGGTGGGATGGAGAGTGATCATGACATTAGGTCTGTATGTTGGTGGGATGGAGAGTGATCATGACATTAGACCTGTATGTTGGTGGGATGGAGAGTGATCATGACATTAGGTCTGTATGTTGGTTGGATGGAGAGTGATCATGACATTACTGTATGTTGGTTGGAGAGTGATCATTGTAGACCTGTCTGTTGGTGGGATGGAGAGTGATCTGTATGTTGGTGGGATGGAGAGTGATCATGACATTAGGTCTGTATGTTGGTGAGAAGGAGAGTGATCATGACATTAAGTCTGTATGTTGGTGGGAAGAAGAGTGATCATGACATTAGGTCTGTATGTTGGTGGAAGGAGAGTGATCATGACATTAGACCTGTATGTTGGTGGGATGGAGAGTGATCATGACATTAGACCTGTATGTTGGTGGGAAGGAGAGTGATCATGACATTAGACCTGTATGTTGGTGGGATGGAGAGTGATCATGACATTAGGTCTGTGTGTTGGTGGGATGGAGAGTGATCATGACATTAGACCTGTATGTTGGTGGGATGGAGAGTGATCATGACATTAGACCTGTATGTTGGTGGAAAGGAGAGTGATCATGACATTGGACCTGTATGTTGGTGAGATGGAGAGTGATCATGACATTAGACCTGTATGTTGGTGGGATGGAGAGTGATCATGACATTAGACCTGTATGTTGGTGGGATGGAGAGTGATCATGACATTAGGTCTGTATGTTGGTGGGATGGAGAGTGATCATGACATTAGGTCTGTATGTTGGTGGGATGGAGAGTGATCATGACATTAGGTCTGTATGTTGGTGGGATGGAGAGTGATCATGACATTAGACCTGTATGTTGGTGGGATGGAGAGTGATCATGACATTAGGTCTGTATGTTGGTGGATGGAGAGTGATCATGACATTAGACCTGTATGTTGGTGGGATGGAGAGTGATCATGACATTAGACCTGTATGTTGGTGGGATGGAGAGTGATCATGACATTAGACCTGTATGTTGGTGGGATGGAGATTGATCATGACTGTATGTTGGTGGGATGGAGAGTGATCATGACATTAGGTCTGTGTGTTGGTGGGATGGAGATTGATCATGACATTAGACCTGTATGTTGGTGGGATGGAGATTGATCATGACATTAGGTCTGTATGTTGGTGGGAAGGAGAGTGATCATGACTGTATGTTGGTGGGAAGGAGAGTGATCATGACATTAGACCTGTATGTTGGTGGGATGGAGAGTGATCATGACATTAGACCTGTGTGTTGGTGGGATGGAGATTGATCATGACATTGGACCTGTCTGTTGGTGGGATGGAGAGTGATCATGACATTAGACCTGTATGTTGGTGGGAAGGAGAGTGATCATGACATTGGACCTGTGTGTTGGTGGGAAGGAGAGTGATCATGACATTAGACCTGTATGTAGGCCTGTATGTTGGTGGAAGGAGTTGATCATGACATTGGACCTGATGTTGAGATGGAGAGTGATCATGACATTAGACCTGTATGTTGGTGGGATGGAGAGTGATCATGACATTAGACCTGTATGTTGGTGGAAAGGAGAGTGATCATGACATTAGACCTGTGTATGTTGGTGGGAGAGTGGAGAGTGATCATGACATTAGGTCTGTATGTTGGTGGGATGGAGAGTGATCATGACATTAGACCTGTATGTTGGTGGGATGGAGAGTGATCATGACATTAGACCTGTATGTTGGTTGGATGTATATTGATCTTGACATTTGTCATGTATGTTGGTGGGATGGAGAGTGATCATGACATTAGGTCTGTATGTTGGTGGGATGGAGAGTGATCATGACATTAGGTCTGTATGTTTGTGGGAAGGAGAGTGATCATGACATTAGGTCTGTATGTTGATGGGATGGAGAGTGATCATGACATTAGACATGTCTGTTGGTGGGAAGGAGAGTGATCATGACATTGGACCTGTGTGTTGGTGGGAAGGAGAGTGATCATGACATTGGACCTGTGTGTTGGTGGGAAGGAGAGTGATCATGACATTAGACCTGTATGTTGGTGGGAAGGAGAGTGATCATGACATTAGACCTGTGTGTTGGTGGGAAGGAGAGTGATCATGACATTAGACCTGTATGTTGGTGGGAAGGAGAGTGAACATGACATTGGACCTGTATGTTGGTGGGAAGGAGAGTGATCATGACATTAGACCTGTATGTTGGTGGGAAGGAGAGTGATCATGACATTAGACCTGTATGTTGGTGGGAAGGAGAGTGATCATGACATTGGACCTGTATGTTGGTGGGAAGGAGAGTGATCATGACATTAGACCTGTATGTTGGTGGGATGGAGAGTGATCATGACATTAGGTCTGTATGTTGGTGGGATGGAGAGTGATCATGACATTAGACATGTCTGTTGGTGGGAAGGAGAGTGATCATGACATTGGACCTGTGTGTTGGTGGGAAGGAGAGTGATCATGACATTAGACCTGTATGTTGGTGGGAAGGAGAGTGATCATGACATTAGACCTGTATGTTGGTGGGAAGGAGAGTGATCATGACATTAGACCTGTATGTTGGTGGGAAGGAGAGTGATCATGACATTAGGTCTGTATGTTGGTGGGATGGAGAGTGATCATGACATTAGACCTGTATGTTGGTGGGATGGAGAGTGATCATGACATTAGGTCTGTATGTTGGTGGATGGAGAGTGATCATGACATTAGACCTGTATGTTGGTGGAAAGTAGAGTGATCATGTTGGTTGGATGGAGAGTGATCATGACATTAGACCTGTATGTTGGTGGGATGGAGAGTGATCATGACATTAGACATGTCTGTTGGTGGGAAGGAGAGTGATCATGACATTGGTCTGTATGGTGGGAAGGAGAGTGATCATGACATTGGTCTTTACAGCATATATTTGGTGGGAACTGGAGAGTGATCTGTATAGATTTTACATAACATGTTTGCGGTTTTTAATGTAATATATAAATGATCATGACAATTGAGAACCTGAATTGTGTTGGTGGGAAGGAGAGTGATCATAACATTAGGATGTATGTTGGTGTTCAGGTATATAAATCGAGAATGAGTTCAACAGATGAAGGTAGGATTTTCATTAAATAGGAATTACCTGTAATGATCGTTTTTACCAAGTAGCGATTTGGATCATTTGAACACAAATAGCTTTAGTTGAGACTATAACCTGTCATACAAAGTACATTGTGTACTATTTAAGTTGATGTACCTGTAATATATAACCATGGATCAGTATTTCATGGTGTGCACATTGTTCTTACAAATGCACAAGAGACCAACTATTCATTTCGTTGTGTATCATAATTTGAAATGTATTTTCTAATTTAAAATGTCTCACCTAAAATGACCGATCATTCTTGTTTGTTTACACATGTTAGAATTAGAGAGTGGCATAGGATCAATGAGTGTTACAGGACTATCAGAACAACATCAAGAATTAGGGACAGATCAGCCCTGTGGGACGGTAACCAATCAAGGTTCTTCCCAAGCCGCATCAACCAATCAGGATGATCCCCAAGCCAAATCAACCAATCAGGATGATCCCGAAGCCAAATCAACCAATCAGGATGATCCCCAAGCCAAATCAACCAATCAGGATGATCCCCAAGCCAAATCAACCAATCAGGATGATCCCCAATCCTCAGCAACACATCAGCAGGATGATACTCAAGCCTCTAACTCACAGGTTTGTTTTAATTCATAACCTATACTTTTGCAGTATTACAGGAAAACACGTTTATAACGAACCTCTAGGGACCAAGAAATTTAGTTTGTTATAAACATAGTCCATTATACACATATAACAAATTTTGGCAAACAGTCACGCATAATTTGTTATAGGAATTGTACATGCAATAAAAATAAAGGGGTCTTATTTAATGATTATATTTTATAACATGTATAGTATGTCCAAATAAACAACAATTAATATTGCTTTGGAAAAACTTGAATAGTTACTTGAAAAAATAACAAATGACAGCTTGCTTTTTACCTCACACCCTGAAAGGATGTCGGGTATTGCGATCACGCATGGCGTCCGTCCGTCCGTCCATCCATCTGTCGAGCCGTCCACAATTGCATACCGCTTATTATCTCAAAAACTACATCACCGGTCATCACCATTTTCACTGGGGATGTTGGGCCTATTGACCTACACAACCCTATTGTTTTTTGACGTCGCCCGATATCCAATATGGTGGTTACGGGTGCCATCATGAATTTGCATTCCGCTCATTATCTCAAGAACGACTACACTGGTGGTCACCATTTTCACTGAGGATGTTGGGCCTATTGACCTACACAACCCTATTGTTTTTTCGTCGTCGCCCGATATCCAATATGGCGGTTACGGGCGCCATCTTTAATTTGCATTCCGCACATTATCTCAAGAACGACTACACCGGTGGTCACCATTTTCACTGAGGATGTTGGGCCTATTGACCTATACAACCCTATTGGTTTTTTGTTGCCGCCTGATATCCAATATGGCGGTTACGGCCACCATCTTGAATTTGCATTCCACTCATTATCTCAAGAACGACATCACCGGTGACCACCATTTTCACTGTGGATGTTAGCCTATGTACCTACACAACCCTATTGTTTTTCGTCGTCACTCAATATCCAATATGGCGGTTACGGCCACCATCTTGAATTTGCATTCCGCTCATTATCTCAAGAACGAGATCACCGGTGATCACCATTTTCGCTGGGCATGTTGGGTCTATGGACCTATACAACCCTATTGTTTTTCACCGATAAATGATAAATTTTTGTTGATGGCTTTGAAGATTCTAAGATAGGTGATCAGTGTTTGTTGATGGCAAAATCAATTGTTGTACATGTAGTTCTGGTATTTGAGTTTTTAAAGTTTAAGCAAATGTGATGTTGCACACTTGTAAGAAAATAAGCATGTCTTCCTCTGACCTTAGTTAGTTTGGAGAGACATACATATTATTGTTCTGTAGCTGTTCTTTGGCTTGTCCATCAGTCCATCTGTCAACTTTTGTATTCTGTGCCATAACTAATGTTCTGTTTGGTTGTTCATGTCCACAGTAGGTACATTGTACACAAATTTGTAGGTTGCTTGTGTATAGGGTAGATGCATTGGTCAGTGGTCATGTGATCTGTGAGAAATCTGAAAATAAAGTTATCTTTAGTTCTGGGGCAAATATTCTGCTCAACAACTTGCAATGTATGCCCATAATGTAAGGGTTGCATATATGGAATGTTCACATGTTATTACTGTTCAGATCTGCAGGTCAAAGGTCATATGATATTTCTAGAAATCAAATTTTCTTACATTTTATCTCACCATTATCAGATGATGGGCTATTCAAAGTCTATGTCCATGGCTGATGGTCTGTGGTGTATTCATCCATATGTGTGTCCATAAACAATTTTTGTTTTCATTATTTCTTCAGAAGTACTGCATAGATCTTTCTCAAATTTGATGTGTAGGTTCCCTTTGGTCCCTAGTTGTGCCTGTCTTATTTTCGGATTGATCAGAAATACAAAATGGCCCACAGACAGTCATCTTAGATTTGGCAGTAAAAGATTATCATCACTATTTCTGCAAAGAAATGTTCTTATCATAAAAAAAAGAAAAGAAAGAAAGGGAAAAGATCCAACTTTCAAAGAACAAATATAGATCAAGCTGTGGTAGGTGCCAAGATCTGTCAGGGATCTCTTGTTCTAAGAAACTACAGGTACACCTGTACTCACCAAATTTGCATAAATATTTTGTGGGACTGTAGCTATTCAGAATCTAAATGATTATGTCCAAGATGGCCTCTATACCAACCAAGACATTCAGGCTTCTTATTTATTTGAATTTTAATTTGATCCAGTTTTAATGAAACATCAAAAAGACTAAGGACTACACAGTGTGCGTTTTGTTTTTATATACATGTAGCAACAAAACTGAGGCATCTGATTGGCTAAAAGGTCAGACTGTAATTTATCTGAACATCTTATTGAATACACTGTTGTTCATCTAGTATAATGTGTAGTACATTATCAACGGTTGTTTTATATTGACCAGGATGAAGATCAGTCATTCTATGAGGTAGCACCCATATGTCCTGCTGATACTGTTGTAGCATTTGCAAGTCCACATGGTAGGTATATGACACCTCTTTGAATGTCACATTGATAAGCATTATCTGTACTGTATCTGTCTCTATTGTATGTCACTTTTGTCTTTATTGTATGTCTCACCTGTCTGTACTGTATGTCTCACCTGTCTGTACTGTATGTCTCACCTATTTATACTGTATATCTCACCTATCTATACTATATGTCTCATCTGTCTATACTATATGTCTCACCTGTCTATACTGTATATCTCACCTATCTATACTATATGTTTCATCTGTCTATACTATATGTCTCACCTATCTATACTGTATGTCTCGCCTGTCTATACTGTATGTCTCACCTGTCTATAGTGTATGTTTCATCTGTCTATACTATATGTCTCACCTGTCTATACTATATGTCTCACCAGTCTATACTATATGTCTCACCTATCTATACTGTATGTCACATCTGTCTCTATTGTATGTCTCACGTGTCTATACTATATGTCTCACCTATCTATACTGTATGTCACATCTGTCTCTATTGTATGTCACTGTTGTCTTTATTGTATGTCATACCTGTCTATACAATATGTCTCACCTGTTCATTTGTCTGATGAAGGTGACGAAGTACATTCTAGTTATCAGATAGTCTCTCTCAAATCTGCTACTGATTGTGTTTTACCAACCTACAAAATGTTCTGATACATCTCCTTATATTTTGTTGTCATTAGAAGTTTTGATTAATTTACAGGATATATAAGCAAATCTAGCTCCAAAACTGGTGGTTGGCTGTTGCATTCGTTTGACGAAGTATGTGAGAGATACAAGAATAATACAGAAGGATTAAACATCCTCCATCTTCTAACCCAGGCTAACAGTCCAGTGTGTTCTGGCATGGCCTCAAAACAATATAATGGTGGTAAGAAATGTATAGGAAGCTTTCAGCATAGACTTGTAAAAGAGCTAATTTTGGAGACTCGTCCTGTTGCAGATGAGGATGAGGCAGTTGATGAGTAGTTGTTGTCATTTTGATCCATACAATACATGTTTATGATAATGTAGTAATTTTTAGCACAAGTTGAACCTCGGATATCATACTACTTGAAATTGTTGTCTTTGAATGACTTTTAGTTAACCCAAACCATCCTGTTATCTGACAAAGGATTCAGCATGGAGGAATGAGTTTTAAGATTATCATTTTACCGATTTCCTGATGATTCTAGATTTTACATGTATTAATTTCACAAATCATTTGTACATATACATGTAAGTACAATGGACAAGTTTGTGTAAACACCATTTCTTTTGACTGATAGTAGCAATATTCTAACATTATATATTTTTTATATTGTTTTATGGTGATGTTACAATGCACTTTACATAACGAATTTATGCTGTTACAATGAAAAGATATTTGCCAATCGCACATGTGGTTATACCACAATTTACCTGTATATGTAAGCGTATTATTAACAATTATTAAGATAACATGGTACTGGCCATGATGTGATAAAGCATTATGTTGATAATTAACTGTAATATCTACCTATAATAAGGTACCTACTTTACAGCATACTTGAACCATTACATCAATACATGTGCATACATGTAAGAAAGATACAAATATAACAATGTATCGTAACTTTTTATATAGAATTTATTTGTGTATGAACATATATTATTTGAACGGTGTATATACCTTTTAACATTCTTGAAAGTACTTTTGTGATAACCAGAATTTTATTGCATGAAATATACATGTACTTGTACTTCAAAATTCCCAGGGTTTTCCATAAGAGCCGGTCGCCGGCCAATTTGACCGGCTACTTTGATCATTTAGCCGCCTACACCAATCCAGTTCCGTAATAATGTTCCGTACACGACTACACGTACATAGAAGGCCAGCCTCCTACTTTCACTACACAGCCTACTACTAACAAAATTATGGAAAACCCTGTATTCCTTATGTTGAAATAAACCATAGATGAATTGATATTAGTTTTGTTTACCATGTATACCATGTTTATGTTATCCATATTTGGAAATGGCCAATGAGAATTACATCATAACTTGCCATGTAAATGATTTTTTACGTCTATAATACACAGTTGGTGTACAAGGCTCATTCAATGAATTCTATCATTAAGCATTGCTATAAAATAGCAGCAGCTTGGAACAACACTAAGGCATTTTTATTTGCAAAATTTTTACAAATCCAAACTGAAGTTTGACTGCTGAAGGTAAAGACTAAATGTGAAATATGCACCTGTATTAAAACTCACTGTGATTCAGGTATACATTTACAACAGATATATGCAAAGTTATACAGTGCGCTGTCTCTCCTTGAGACATGAATTTTCCTAGAAAAAGACCTTTTATTTGATACAAAGTTTGATAAACTTGACCCATGATCCTGACATTTTGATTGTTATATAGTCTGCAGTGTCTTTGACACCCATTTTTTCAGGAAAAGACCTATTATTTGATAATACATTTGATGACCTTGGCCCTGACATTTTGACCTTTTGACCCGGTGGTTATTTTCAATGTTTCCATCAAATAAAATTTTCACTAGGTATGAACCAAATTTGCTCTATGGTGTTATCTCTGATGATTTCAGTATTGGTCAAAATTTGTCGGTAATTTGCTACTAAGAGTTATGTCTTTAATGTCCATCAAATAGATTTTTTCTTTGTAATTGTCAAATAACTTTAATGTTTACAGAAGGTTTGAACAGCATTTGATATATTATCTAGTGATAAGAACTGGGATTAGCTTACTATTGGACTAAATCTGTTAGTATATGACAGAGTTTACTTGTTTTTGTCAAATGACTGATTTTTTACATTCAGATTTGGTATATTTTAAGGCTTTACATTATTGAGATTTCAAAGTAGTTCGATAATGGAGCTACTGGATTTTAAAAACGTTAGATCAGAATTTTATTTGTGGTCATTAATAATCTTAGCCTTCAGATTTAAGGAAAATTTATGTATGACAAAAATGTGTTTTTTTAATTGAAATTCCTAGCCCTAATGTTTGCTTAGCTTTCATGAATGTCTTCCCCTCGGGGTAGATTAGTTATTTGTTTTATTTGTATTTTTGTTTTTCCTATTGAAGAAAACACTCTCATGGAAAATAACACATCCAGAAGCTAGGCATCTTGCCAGCACAGGAAGAAAGACTAGGGTGTAGTGTTGACTTCTGTATATATATATATATATATTATTTTGTCAAGGGGCCTTCAATAAACATATGATATACAATGTTTATTGCTGAATTATTCTACATATATATATATAAACAATGTGTATTGCTGAATTATTCTACACACATATATATATATATATATATATATATATAATAATTCAGCAATACTATATATATATATATATATATATATATTGTTTTCCTGGCAAAGAAAAATATATGCCATTCTTCTTTCGTAAATCTCCTCGGTCCATAGTGGTGTATGTTTAGTTTTTAAGGCTAACTGGAGAGACAAATTGTCCGTGAGTCTATCATCTTGGATTTTTACAGAAAGCACTTGAGTGATCTTTCTCAAAATCCTTATAAAGGTTTCACTTTTCCCAAGTTGGCATATGCCAGCCTGAATATTAATGAATAAAATGAGTATCATCTTGAAGTTTAAACTTATTTATTGTGTGCTTAGGTTGAAACGTATATATATGGACCCGATCAGGAATTCGTGCCAAATCCCCCCTGTGTTTAAACACTGAATTGGACACTAACAGTTGGCCGTGTAAAGTTTTTACAAATAATGTTTATTATTGCTATTTCTCAAATTCCACACATAATTTTTCCCTAGGTACCTTATTGTCCATGTTCAGACAGAAATAACAGATACGTGGTTGTATTTGAGTAAGACTATTAAAGTTTCTCATCATAGTTATTCGCAAAAGTTTTGATCGATCGCTCTCCTTATGACAGGATTTCCCAGAATGTTGACCATACATGCAGTTTCCGAACGAGCATTTATATAGAGAGAATACATGGTCAGTGTCTTAAGATATAAGCTGTTTTTTGGTGAGGGTGAAGAAAGGCGAACCTCCCTCTGGCAAGCCACTTTTGTGTGTTCTGTCCCGAGCCAAAATGCATCGTGTACTTTAAGACACTGACCATGTATTCTATTTATCCTGCAACATTGATTGATAATCAGACAATCAAAACTCCCAAAATTTGTTTTTTCAATCATTGTTTACATGTTGTTGTTGACGTTACGCTGAATTTTGCCTCATTACGAACGCCAGGAATGTAGTTCCAAACTTCTTATGAATTTCCGTTAACAAACTTACTCATTACAACATATAAAATCACTTATTTCAACAGCTATTTATATTGTTAAATGTAACATTTAAGTAAATTCAGAAAGAAGTTCTGTAGAATTACCGCACTTGCTAAAAATACAACTGTTTCCGTCACTGTCGAAAACAGCAAAACTATATGTGGCTTATGTATATTCAGACAATGTCAGTGTTAATTGCAAGATAAATATATAGACATATGAGTAGTGTGTCCTTCATGTATGCTTCATACCTCTCACGATTGAAGTGTAGGATGATAAACCGCCAGGTAGGTACATGAACATGACAGGATGTGTGAAACAATTACCCGAAAACCATACAATTACAATGTTAGATGAAACCACTGTAACATTTACTAGCCCTCCAATTAGTTAAGAAGCTACTGATATTCAAAAATCTGTGGAAGTTCATCAGATCGTTTGACTAATAACTTTTTCCATTGGTTCTAGATATCAGTAGACGAGAGCCTTGTTACAGATGTTTGTTCACATTCCGTATGTTTTAAAATATAAAAAAAACCTACGTTTAGTTTAACTACATAAGGATATCATAGTTGATGCAATGTACTCTCAGTTTCGATAACGTGGATTTAGCCAAAGTATGCAGTGTTATTGATTTAATTATTGTGCATATCGTTCAACCAAATAAATACTCGGGAAGGTGGAGGATGGGAGATTGATGTGAACCGTAATGTGTAGAAGTAACACACACAACGCTGCACGTGTGTCCAAGCAAGCTTAAATGAAGGCGACTAACAAGTAAATACGATGATGATGATGTTTATTTCATGGACATTTATACATATTTACAATCTCATGAATGGTTTCACAAATATAGACTGTCAATTTGAATACAAACATCGTTTTTCCCGCCAAATGTACAATATAACCCCACACGACCACACAATCGAGTTCTGATCAAGGTGGATCCCACTATACATCCGGGTTCTGATAACGGTGATGCCGGAAACATAATGTGATAATCCCGGGAAATGCGAACTAAATCGACATATTTAAAAAAAAAAAAAAAAAAAATCAAAACCAAAGTGATCAAGTTCATAACTACGTGTTAGCTTTGTCTGCTTTGTGTATCTCGTTTTTCACGTGAGCATAAGTTCGGAGAAATTCAGATCGTTTTTCACGTGAGCATAAGTTCGGAGAAATTCAGATCGTTTTTCACGTGAGCATAAGTTCGGAGAAATTCAGATGATCGCTTTGTTAATTTGTGTGAAGAAAGGTCTTGGATGTAAATTTGTTTTGGTGGTTCAGTCTTTCGCCTTTCATCGAGGCGTCCGAGGTTTGATTACCCAAACAGGAATGATAACTCTAAGTAAAAATAACTTTTCTTTTACAATTGTTGTGAAATGAATAAAGTTAATATTGTCAAAAGTTTTAGATTTGAACAAAGATCTCCGCCAAGATCTTCTGTACAAACACAAATTTTTCCCCTGTTTGATGTCAACAAAATTCCTAAATGTTCAATATCATCACGAAAATATCCCGTCTTTAGCGTTCGCTTTGGTGTGAATACAAGGATCTCTCGCGGTTCAGTGTCTCTCTGAAAATGCTTTAAGAGCTCATGTTTTACGTAACCATAAAGAGCAATGTGTATGGCCACAAAGAGCTTGAAGAGCTCGCGTGAACACACCGAGCTATATCCCAGACGATACCTAAATTATATAACATACATGTATAATCGCATGAAAGAATGTCGTTTGCTCTCTTAAGGTTTTAATTTATCTACGGTAATCATGAATAAATCCTACCCAGTTCCTACCGACTCGGACAGCGAAAACTTTCTCTTCTGCCAGCCAGGGGTGTCTGATGGAGACAAAGCATGCATACCCGGTCTCTGTCACATGGCAGGCGACCGTCACTGTCAACATTATAACGGGTTAACCCGCGTTCTCTCCCGAAAAAAAATATATGTCACTTTGGTAAAATACCAGCTGTTTCTATCTCGTTCTGTAGAACGTTAGTTTATAGCTAACTGAGCCAGAAGTTCCGGGTACGGTCCCTGGTAGAGGCATTTATTTCATATGTAACCGTGACTAAATCGGCTCAAACTACAAATATATGAATAAAAAATCTGATAATACGTAGTTTGTTTACTCTGTTGTTAAGCAAAGCTTGAGATATTATGTACTGTTAAATGATAAGGTAATAAGGACTGACGAGGTCTTAAACGTTGATACAAGTCTACACTTGAGTTATTAATTATAACTTAGCACTGAATGCTGTAGTCGAGTTATTACTAAATAACATTATTGGAAAATATTTTACAAAATACATGCCACTTACACAAGTCTAGACATTTACTATTTGATAACAGTTTGAAAATGAAATGCACTCATTAAGACACAAATTCAATGTTGCGGAGAAGAGAGTCCCACTGCTCATGACGAAGGCTTTAACGCCTGCATACATTTATAATTTGTAAATGTATGTTATTTTGATTTTGAATCTCCTTTTTTTTAATAATGATAGATGTCTTATTGAGTGCTTTATATGAAATGTGGACAACAACAATCCTATCCGTATTCAGTTAAAGGATGATTGATGGCAGACCAGGCCCCTTCTCCGTAACAAAGGGAGACTACTCCTATATGGAATGTACAAAATGATTCGAGTTCACACAAATTAATGATGAATGTACAAAGTGACAAAAACCTGAAACATTATAATAAAGATTTCATAATTGCGATGTGATATGATGATTATCTCCCTTCTTGAACTAATGACAACGGTAAAGATAGAATGCGCATGTTCATGCACAATGCATGATAGAATTACAATGCATAGGGCTTACCGAATACATTTGTATGGTTTATATTAATTTACACATCATTTGTTGGTCATGGAGAAATAGAGTATAAAAGGAGATGAAGGACGGATGATGAGAATAAAATTATCTACAATTACATGATCTATAAATTTTTACATCATCTTTGACAATGTTTCGACAACTTTAAAGGCATATGAAAACCCCATGTCATGTAATTAAGAAAGGGAGATAACCGTTGCTATTAATGAAATCACATTTAACGTGTAACAAAATAATAAAAAAAAATGGTGCCCCATTGTGAGATGCATGGGACCTACAACTGAACACTGACGTCAAGGCTAACCCGTACCGTGAAAGCTCACACACACATATATATATATACATGTCGTATTTAAAATAGATATACTACATATGTATATATCCACAAAGTACAGTCTTTTGTTGACGTTAAATTAATTTATATGTGCAATATAAACACCCAGATATAAACAAATTATAACACAAAAACAAAATTAAATCAATAACAATTATCACTTCTGAAATAAACCACAGAAATTATTATTTCTAGAATCAACATACATTTATGTATGGATATCATATAAGCTTTGACAATTGAAATGGTGCCGAAATGTGTAAGGAAGGAGGATCCTGATGAGACTGACCAGGATTGAACTGTATTCAGATAATTCCCAATTAGTTCATCTATTTTTCCTCTAAGCTGAACATGAAACCATGGTATATACTCATGTATCCAGCTGTGAAATATGTTAACCATAAAAGGAATTCGAGAAAAAGAAAAAATTGAAAATGTTGATGACGGTCTTTTTCCCCCGCTGACTGTGCCATTATTGCTACATAAACTTAAGAGTTATCTCTCTTTGACCACTACTTGACTAATGACGAACACTCGAGATGAACTTACGTAAGTATTGAGAAAACTGCCATACCGATAATTGTGACGTAAAAAATCGGCCTAGTCGTATTTGAAGTTCCAAATGGGTCACCAAATTCTTGGGACATTAAACCTGTCCCGGATATTGTTTTCTTTTTCTGCAGGCTTCGTATTGGTTCCAACTCGGATGTGTGGAAGGAAATCCAGACGTGTGTCGCCGTCCAGATATATCGAACGATACTCTGAGCTCTGAGGTGTGTCGCCGTCCAGATGTATGGAACGATACTCTGACGTGTATGGCCGTCCAGATATATGGAACGGTACTCAGACTTCTGTCGCTGACCAGATATATGGAACGATACTCTGACGTGTGTCCCCGGCCAGATATATGGAACGATACTCTGCGGTGTGTCGCCGTCCAGATATATGGAACGGTACTCAGACGTCTGTCGCTGACCAGATATATGGAACGATACTCCGACGTGTGTCCCCGGCCAGATATATGGAACGATACTCTGCGGTGTGTCGCCGTCCAGATATATGGAACGGTACTCAGACGTCTGTCGCTGACCAGATATTTGGAACGATACTCCGACGTGTGTCCCCGGCCAGATATATGGAACGATACTCTGCGGTGTGTCGCCGTCCAGATATATGGAACGGTACTCAGACGTCTGTCGCTGACCAGATATTTGGAACGATACTCCGACGTGTGTCCCCGGCCAGATATATGGAACGATACTCTGCGGTGTGTCGCCGTCCAGATATATGGAACGGTACTCAGACGTCTGTCGCTGACCAGATATTTGGAACGATACTCCGACGTGTGTCCCCGGCCAGATATATGGAACGATACTCTGCGGTGTGTCGCCGTCCAGATATATGGAACGGTACTCAGACGTCTGTCGCTGACCAGATATATGGAACGATACTCCGACGTGTGTCCCCGGCCAGATATATGGAACGATACTCTGACGTGTGTCGCCTTCCAGAAATATGGAACGATACTCAGACGTCTGTCGCCTTCCAGATATACGGAACGGTACTCTGACGTCTATCGCCGTCCAGACGTGTATGTAATTTACTACGAATAGGAAATCAGTCGCGGCCATGTGACTGGAACAACACTACGAGTATGGAACAGTAGTACCACTCTGGAGGCCGTTGATGTCTAGATGTGCGAAACAGTACTACGAGTCTGAAGGCTGTCGCCGACTAGATGCTTGGAACGAAATCTAACATGACTCCGGACCTTGTCGCCGGCCAGATGTATGGAACAGTAATACGTGTCTCAAGTTTGTCACCGACCAGCTGTTTGGATCGAAAGATGATATGACTATGAAATATGTCGCCGACCAGATGTACGGAGCATTACTTCGAGTCGGCTGTCGCCAACCAGATGTATGGAGCAACGATATGATTCTGAAGTCTGTAGCCGACCAGATGTATGAACCATTTCTACGAGTCTGAAGTCGGAAGTGAAAAGTCCCATACTTTCCGCTTTTTCACATGTACTGAACAGTTTCTCTTGTATTCTCCTTTCATTTGTAGACAGAATGAGTACATATCCGGAATCTTCATGTTTTTTTTCTCCAAATGAAAAATATTTGTATCTTTTTTTTATTGTCGAACGTAAAAGAAAATATTTTTGTTTACGTCCAAATCCATAGAACTATGGTTAATATCACTAAATGTCTTTGTAATGATATTGTAGGGCCTCCATTTCGACTGTTTGACGGCTCCGGCTTTGCTGCAGGCTGTAGAATGGATTGGGTGGGGTTGTCTGTAAACAAGAAATAAACGCCATAATTTCGAAAATATTAGCGTCAACAAAGGCTATATTATTTGAGCAGTTCCCACACTTCCTATACCTGAGTGCTTTACGACTAGTATGTCTCCCTTGTCTGAGTGTTGCCTCCGTTTTCTGAGTGCTGACCTACAGTATTCCCCCATTTGTAATGTTGAATTTCTGCATCACCTCCCCTAAGATTGTCTAAGTGCTGAATTACAGTATTAAGTTCTCTTTGTCTGAGTACTCAACTGCAGTGTTGCCTCCTCTCGTCTAAGTATTAAATTTTAGTATTACTACAATTTACTCTACATGTTGAACTACAAGTACAGATGTATTACCTCCCTTGACTGAATGTTGAATTACAGTATTACCTCCCTTGACTGAGCGTTGAATTACAGTATTACCTCCCTTGAATGAGCGTTGAATTACAGTATTACCTTCTTGTCTGAGTATTAAAATAACAATGTACAATGTTACTTTTCTTGTCTGAGAGTGATTAACTTTGATATTAGATAGTCTTTCCTTGTCCTAGTGTGATAACTATAATATGCCTTCTCCTTCGTTTGAGCATTCCATAACACAAAGCATATTCACACGTGTTACATGTATATCTCGGAAAGATATTCGGCTTTTTTGTGATTCGACTCTTCTGGTATCTAATTCAAATGAAAGCAAGTACTTACCTCGCTTGTCCTTTGGTATTTCAGCTGAAAAAAAAGAATAGTAGCTTCATAAACACATAAAACATATCACAGACATACGCAAATAAGATTTATCTGCACGTAGTATAAAAATGTACTTTAACAGTGGATTGTATTGGTGATGCGCGTTTGATAGCGCCAAATGAAGACGTATGCTTCTATTCTTTTCAATTGTGACTGTACAGCTTCACAGAGTCACAATCTTCCAATACTATGGTGACAACAAAAAAAAAGAACACGAAAAAACTTGCTGCCGTGATAAACATATCTCTCAATGTTCGCTCCATGTAGGGTTTTATTCAACTATGAAGATTTTTTTTCATATTATGTGATCTAAGCTTAGCAAAACATTATTTCAATAGAAAATTCTGAGAGTAATGTTTGATAAACAGAAATATATATAGATATAGATGTTTAGAAGTGTATGTTTTTCGTGAATTGACATATTAATCTGCTTGTCATTAGGAGGAGTGCGAGCATTTCAATCATGTATACGATACATATCGGAAGTAACATAGTATACACCCTTAACACATACATTTAAAAGTAGATCTTAATCGTCAAGACATAGACTGAAATGCTTGTCTATTGTTTTGGTCTCTTGGCTGATTTTTAATATGTTACATTTATCAAAACAAGCCATTGATGATTTCAACTTCCCAATAGCGAATTTTCCTTTTCTTGATAGCAACATTATGCCTGCTCAACCTATGATGCTTTCATGTCGCAGCTCATTTGACACTGAGGAGTTTTGTTCCGAAAAGCACTCTTTTTGTGCAACAGATACAGTTTGAAGTTGTGTGATTTACGTAGTGTTTACATTAGAAGGCGTTCTATTTCTTTGTGCAGTAAAAAGTTGGACGTGTTTAATGCTCGTTACTTTGTCTGGTTGTTAACATTGTTTTTACTTTGGAAACTCGACATTACTTACTTGGATCGACCAAGTTTTATATGTCGGGTATCGTCGATGAAGCAAAAATCGCCTGTACCTTTCTTGTACCTTATAGGAGCTTCAGCATAAATCTCATATCCACTAGTTTCGCCTTAATTTGAGTTTGAGTTAATATCCTAGCTTGTTGAGATGTCTTTTATTAAGATATAGATTCTATGACTATTATGTATGAGTTAGGGAAGTGGGAGGGCTTTCTTTCAGTGAATTTTATACTCAACAAAACCTAATATACATTTACGTAAACAAAGCAATAGCATGTTTATCGTCCAAAACGCCTGGCACATATGGACGTACCTTTTAAATCCCCTTTCTTGCGCCTTTTCCCTCCATTGATTGCCGCCAAAATTAATGTAAGACGATTTACTATCAGTCCGAAATTATCATTGACTTTACATGGTATAAAATACAAATACTTAGTAATAACAATTAACAAATCCCGGTGCAGAAATCAATGTGATATGTATACATTTTTATTAAGCTGTTGAGACGATAAAAAGGTAACTTCACCGATGCCAAGAAATAGTTTGTGTAAAATGTTGTATTTGAAATATTCAAAAGAAATTAATTCTTGTTTTTCATGAATTGATATAGATCAGATAACCCTGGACTCCCGTTATTCCTGTCTGTAATGGTACAATTGTACATCTTGATTAAAAGTTTAAGTAATAATAATAAAAAAACAGCTAAGGAATGCAGAAATGAAAACATAAATGTTACGTGTATATTGACAATAAGTCGGTAAATACCATCAACTTAAACATTGTTAAATTACTCATTTTATTGGTGAACGATTTTCCACAGGTGCTTCTTTCATCAAAATTACTTTCCAAATGTATATTCAGAGTCGAAATTTGAGTAGCGTCTTTATCCAGCAGTTAGTCACTTTCTGGTGATAAGCGCAGTTGTATGTATGACTGATCAGGATCACAATGCTATTGCAGTGCCTAGTAATCAGCCCGCCCCCTGGCACCTCCCCCGACTTATCGAAAGATAAATAGGGTGTATTGAAAGCAACCTTATAAATCTGAATGAAATAGAATCAGAGAAAAACCTATTCTCATTGCACAAGGATTATAACCTTTGACCCCAACGCTATAGTATTCAATAAATACATGTATCACAGTCAAAAATAATTTTTGAAAAGAAACGCGCAATGATCATAACGGAAACAGTTGTATGTAGATTATAAAATTATAGTAGAGCTAAATTAAATTTCTTACCAAGATTTACATTAAAGATGAAAGTGTATATTAGCATTCGGAAGAAATCAGTATAGATATTTAACTATGTATCATAGTATGGTACAAGAAAAAAAATCCTTAAATAGAAATCCGTTTGCAGATTTTTTTGGTTGTCATAGAGACGTAAATGTTTGTTAGGAAAGACGGGGCAGTTGGTGATGTAATGTATAGAGAATGAGAATGGCTGCAATTATTACATATACCAAAATTAAACATGGTCAGTTTTCTATAATAAACAAATTGAAAAAACTTACACAGGTCATTGAGAACAGTGACCTTTGTACTTTTAATCTGCGCGGCAGATGTCCTGCACGTGTAGGTGCCCATGTCGTCCATGCTGGCCTGGGCAATATGGAGCGTACTGGATATGGTGTTACTACCAAGAGAGACTGTCTTGTCGATGTACACACCCTTCTGGAAATTAGTGCTCACCCTGTGACCGTTGATGAACCAGTCAAGTTCGTCCAGCTGTGTATCCGCACCAGTCGCGTTACAGTGTAGCTGTATCGGGTGACCCTTGTTCACGTGCTCAGGAGAAAATATTCGAATATCTGAAGATGTACGAACAAAAAGTCATTCAATTAAAATATATATAGATATGCATACACAAACATTTATCTATTTAATCCACTCATATAATTCGATGTAAGAAAACTAAATTGAACTTGAACATTTCGATGTTCTGTTTTCGATATCACGAATCCTTTTAAAAGTCTTCATCCTTAAATAATGAAAAATCCACATCATGGTGATAAAATTACAAATGAATGAAAATGACCAAAGAATTACTTCGAGATCAAAGCCAGTGGCCTTTGCCTGTACATTTTTTTACCTTTCTTTTAGCAATGCCCTGCGATCAAGTGTACAAGAGATTCTATAGAATCTTGAGAGTACCCAGACAGCATGTTTTTGCTATGTGCAATAGTCTATGGCCGTTCTGAATTTCTTACCAAAATATGACCAAACATCAGTCAATGTGGTATCGGTAGTATACTAAGTCAATTTGATCATATCTCTGATTTCATATCGTTTGATTGCAACATTTAACGAAATTTGACATAACGAATCTTCGTTGGTTGTTTCAATTACCGATATTTTACCGGTTAAATGAAATACATTGTCTTATTCTTGACATTTTTCAAGAGTTTCATAAATGAAGTCGTGCAAATGGAATGCTTGGTTGAAGTTTTGTGTCTGAGAGTTTTTGTTTTCATCCCGAATGAATATAGGTGTGTCTATGTGTGTCAAAGACACCACTAGTTTTGTTTTGTGGACGGTACAAAGAGACAGTACATGTGTAGTTTTGATAGAAGTAAGGCGATTTATCCATACTAACGAAGACAGTTGTCGTTAACATAAGATAAAATGCTTTCAGAGCTTTACCGTTAATTATGTTACTGATGTTAGTAGGTAGTGATTTACTTAGACCCGGACACGCGCGTGACTACAGGTGTGCCACTTATGCGGACAGCGGTCGTTCATTTTCTCAAGAGCACCCTTAAATACTGTTTCTAGTTGTCTAAGGAAAACAGACACAAATTACCAGCGTGGAATGCAGAATACTCCTTGTTTTTACGCTTGTTGATGAGGTGGATATGAGGAATTATCAACAAACACAAAAATTCAGAGTGTATTTATATCCGTGTCTGTTTGTAGTCATGTGACAATCAGACACTATTCATAATTACGTACTGTGATGCGATGATAAAGTCCATATGACCACGTGGAACAGTCGACCAACAATCGGCTCTCTTACATGTATAAAATGTTTGATGATGATGACAAAAGGATTTATCAACCGGTCGACCCCGAAGATGCATGCATTGTGAAGGAGAAGAAATTGTAACACAGACTTGCAGACATTTTTAGTTCTTAGTAACTGTAGCAGGCACGTGACCATCATAGAGAGCAATGCTATTGCTGTTGGTGTACGTACAAGGTTTACTACATTTGTACATTTACTATCGTTATCAATCTTCAATATTTAGTTTGTCAAAACTTATATCACCATTTTTCATGAAAGTTCATTAATTAAAACTTTCATGAAAACATTAATGAATGGAAACAAATATTCCTGAACTGACTGTGTTTCCGTAAGTTCTTGAATCATAGCCTACATTTCAAACCTATATCTGTAACCATTATATCTATTAAACTCTTCAAAACTATTATGTATATTTCTCATCTTTGCTTAAGAAATTTACCTCGTCCACATTTCTCAGAATCTGACATTGTAGAATTTTATCATTTATACAGTGGAATCTGTTCCATTTATTGAATTTCAACATAGAATAGCAAGCGATAATTAAAACATGTCTCTCGGCTTACTGGATACAGCGTTCATAGGCGTAAGTAGTGGATCTTGGTTCGAACCTACGTCTTTCACGTGCCATATTCCACGTTTAATTTAATAAAGATCTATTATTAAATCACAGGTTTAAACTTATCTTGTTATATATTGGACGCTATGCATAATCTGTACCTATAAGCATCTTAAAAATCGATAAAATATCTATAAGTTCAATTAGTACACTTAGGCAGTGTGGTCATGGATCAGTAACTTATTCAATAAACATCGATTTTTGTTTCATTTTACTCGAAAATTCATATACAAGCAATGTTGTGGCCTTTCAAACACAAGGAAGGTAAGTTGAGGCGTAGAGACCTCCTTATTGAATTATGCGCCGTCTCGTGGCTCGTCTGGCTATTTAGCAGTTGAAGGAGAGAAAACGAAGAGAGGAATCCTGGTAGACTGGTAATAACGGGTTTATAGAGCTAAGTACAATTCCACGACAGTATTTGCGGGGAAATGAAGATTCTATAACAGGGTGTGAAATAACATTTTATAAACTTCTCGTTTGTCTCATAAGCTTTTTATCCTTGTATTCATGTGTGGCTCGGAATCGATGTCACAATCCCGTCCGAACTCCCTCATGAGGGACAGACAGACCAAGCTTATACCGACAAACATATAGGCATTATGTAATTGTCATTCCGTTAATGCAAAAACGAGGCGACTTTTGATGTCAGAAGTCGGTCCCAACAGTAGGTTATCTTGGTAACTTGAAACTCTATCTAACATTAATGTTATTCTCAGCAAAAATTGTGTCAGGTAATCTTAACAAGAATGATATACGCCAACGCAAAGGTATCAGATTCGATAGGAGAAAAAACACTCAAAGATATTCAACAATGTTGTGCACAAGGATAAGTATTTTATCAATATGCGTGCGTCATAACACTAAACGGTTGTGGACTTCAATGAGTATTACGTGTTTTGTACTCCAATGTCTCCTCTCGTACATTCGCAAATGTCCGTGGTCATTTCGGACTAAAAAGGCTCGTTCCGGACTAAAGAGAAGCACACATACAAATGTACCTCGTACGCGTATATTTTCGTTCAGATATAATTGTTTCGGACTAAAAAGATGTACATTTGATTCGTACCCTGTACTCAGAGATCTTCGTTCATATGACTTTAATCCGAACCATTGAGAAGTAACTGTTTGAACTGAGACTTATTGTTATATGTATCTAGGCATGTCCCTTTTGTATGAATGGATTCATGTTGGCAAACATATGTACGAAGCCTGTTTCAAATCACAAGCAGGATGAAACTGAATTGAAAGGAATTTAATAGACATATTGTTGCATACTGTCAACAGAACAATGCCATCTTTCGTGGAGGGCGAAGACTGCTGAAACTTAACCAGCAATCCGTCAGTTTTTCTGACAGCGATGTGCCAGGACCTTCGTGGCACTGACCCTATTTTGACCTCATGTTGACGCGGAGTTGATTGGCTACTCCTGATGAATGTTAACAATTAGCCACCGTCCCACTTGGACTCAATCAAGAAACCGACAAGACGTCCATGTACATAAACCGCTGGTATCGTTCATTGCCAAGTTCAATGTACACAATATTTGCTGTTTATACAAACTGCGTGTTGGACAACCCATTACACATTTCCCAATCAGAATAGATTCTTCATTGAAAAATAAGATAAAGATAACAAGACGTTGGTATTAACCTATTTTAATGGTAACTTATGGTAAATGGAGAGAATGGTACATAAGCAAGTACACCTACTGCACTCGTTTGACCTTAAAGCACTGACATTTTTAGTTAACAAACCAAGAATGTTTGTTCTCAGCTACCAATTACACTGATTGAGGACAAAATAATTAAATGCATAATTGAACTCAAATCCCTCACTATTGTCTGGGCTGCAAACCACTTGATGGTTCCAAAAGTATGGTTTTGTCAACTTTTTTTTCTCGTCGATATATTTGATTGAATCTGTATACATACGACAACATATTGATCCTTATCTGTAGTGCATGTAATCATTAAACAGCTTTAAAATGGCATATTAACATAAACACTGCAGCCACCACAGAAATTGCAAAAATCCGTACGGCTATGCTATTTTGGACGGAACTATGATGATCTAAACTAAAGTGATATAAGCAAAATAAAGCAGTTGGTTTGTTTCAATTGCAATATGCTACATTTCAACTTAAGTAAAATGTTGTCCAAATGAATTGTGTATGAGTAATGTTTGCCGTACAAATGCATGTGAATTTACATGAATTTAAAACTAGTTTTTTAAATAAAAAATATGATACATATACATTTATGTAAAGTCAACATCTATGCGCAACATAGCATGTTTTGGTGTACACATTATATATTCCTCCTCATTCTATCTGCATAAACAGCATAAACATGAGTAGGATTCCTTTTGTTGCTGGATGGAAAGGCGGAACTCGTTTACCAGACATTCAGACTTTCCTGACCTTTGTTAAAAATAATCTTTTATTAATCTCTTATAGTTTTATCATTGAATTCTTAACATTCAGCTTTTAAGAAATTACTTCCAAATTGATATTACCATATAAACGTGAGCAGTATATCATTAGAGAGTCCATTCGGCTCTTTGACGTCGAACCTGAAGCTTGGACATCGCAATAAATCCGTGTATAAATCAAGGGGGAAAATTTTACACCTGTCACCAGGCCTCACACCTCCGACTTCGGCTCCGTCCGCCGCCGTCAGCAGTGTGAAATTACTTACAGACCCTACAGCCATTGATTAATATTCTAACACCACGTGACAGTCGCCATCTTTTATGTATGAGAGCAAGTCATTGTTCCTTTCCGCGCGAGATGAGGAGTGAGGATCACCCCGCTTTCGCCCCAATTACTTAAATACGCTGTCAATTCCGATGTTAGCGCTCGTGACGAGAATCCGACTTCTTAAACTTCCATATATACGTTTCTCTCATGACAAGATAACATCGGCTTTTCCTTTTCTTCAATAAAGAGATTCATTCTTTTCAAAATCAAAATTGTTTTTACTTTATAAAACATAGAAATCACAAATCTACGAATCGGATATGCAATGCCATATTCCATATCCCTGCGACATTAATTGAGTTTTAAACACTTCCTGTCAATTGTGTCTATTTTCAAGAAGAGTATTTTGCCCTTATGAAGCGCAGAAGAACACTCCTTGTCTGTAATATTGATAATTTCCAAAAAGCAGTCTTCATTCATTTCCATGAAATTGCTAAAATATGAGAATAACATGCATAGTGTTTATTTGAATTTTTTCAGCTTTATACCAAAATTGATCTCGTTGTAACTGTATTCAACATAACTTTGATTTGCTAGCGCGAGCTAGGCATGTATAACTGTATTCAACATAACTTTGATTTGCTAGCGCGAGCTAGGCATGTATAACTGTATTGTCAGTAAATGGTCTTATTCTGTTTCAATATTTACATAAATTTCTCTACTGCTTACTCAGCTACATACATTAAATATTGATATAGCACCAACCTATCTTGAAGACAAAAACACCCAGTCTCAAACATGTCGATTGTGAAGAACCTAAACAATGTGACGTACTGTACCTGTCTGTTTGCGGTTGAATCAAACATCACCGACAATTCTATGATCAACCAGCTACAATGCATAAACAGGTTAACCTTATCAATAACCAAAGATCAACTAATTGGTTTGTGTCATCGCCTTCACTGTGTAACGATTCGACTGTATGTGGCATTTCACCGACAATATCAGAAAAAATAGACGGATATTGACATACTAACAAACAAAAGAGTAAATACGGTTTATGAATATAAGAAAAATACGAGGTCATCATGGCATGATCACATTGGGTAAACATTTTTCCTTGTGCAAAGTTTTTCTGTTCATCCTAAAGCAACACTTTTTAGACAACTGTCTTCTCTTTCAACATCTTTTTACATTTTCCTGCAGGCGCAAAAAGAAACCCCCACTCAGATTACATTATAATGTGCTTTCACGTAAATACAGAAAGTTTATCATTTCCGCAAAATTGCAGGAGGTGTTTACAGGGAAAGTAAATCAAGTAAACACGACGAATGTAATTCAGTTATCGGACTCACATACATATATATGCGTTCTTTAGTATTGTCAATTACTTTTTATAGTTTTTCGATTCAAATTTCGAACGGAAATGTAACTGTAAATAAGTTTGACTGCTTGAACAACGATGCCGAAATGATAAGTCGGATTATTTCGCGGTCGTAAGCGCATTTAGGTGATAAAAGGACGGAATGAATGGTATTCTTCTGCAGTGAGCGCCATTACTAATTGCTATGTTGTATCATGTTCCCGTACTTTTGATTCGAAGTGTTCTTGTTAAATATAAACTGTAACGCAAAAATGTTATTATTGTTTCCAGTAAAACTACTTCACATGATGTTATTTCATTAGTTAGAATTCATTATACTCAACTAAATTAGGTAAACAGTTTGAATTCAATTTACAGAGTACTGAACTGTGAATGAGTCCAAAATGCACGCGAGCGTGTCGTAAGTCTGTATCAAATAGTTCTAATTTAGCATGATACCTTACAGGATAACGTGGAGACTGGGAATAAAACAGGATGTCAAATGTACTTGCGCTCTTGAATTAAATTGGCTCCGTTTAAATGTATCACCAGTAATCAGGAACATTTTTATTGGTGAAGCGTACGAGATACTTCTCGTCACACTTGAAGAAAATGCAGCATTTTCTTTGTTTTAAATCCATTCCAATGCAATACTGAAATTGATACCTTTCTATGGACTAATTTGTCACATGATTAGAACGTAATTCAAGATGAGAATGGAACAGCTTACACAGTGAGGGCCTCAGCATCTTTCTGTTTAAAACCATGTAAATAATATTACCTCATGCGTTCGTTTGTGTAGATATTGTATTGGGAACAACATGAGAGCCAAGAGAAGATGGCAAACAGCTCACAACTCCACCAACCCCATATCGTAAATCTTCGGTCTTATTGTCATATATTCAGAATGTGGGTCAGTGGATATCCATAAATAAACTATTTCTTAGTTTTACCCACATCTCAAATGGCCTTTAACTAAATACAAAATCAATAATTTCAACTTACCCGGCGTACTCCTGCCTTTGTCTTTTTTATCTACAAAACAAAACAACGTCATAAAAATACACAATGTTGGTAGCAAAAAGGCTCTTTGTTCATATCATTTTATTTCATTTAAAGGTGATTTGTGTACTCAAAACATGCTCATAGCTACATACAGCTGTAAATGTAATATATATTTCACATTTCATTCTTAAATGAAGTAGAGTATAACAACAACAATACAGACAAAAATCAATGCAATGCTGTTTCTAATAGACATGTTGTCTTCATACACTTAGAACAGTACAGCAGCTGGCCTTACTGCGCTCTACCTAAATCTGATAAAAATGCCACTTTAAAATCTATGAGTTTTGATAAAATGAGAAACACGGGTAAATAAATCAGAGAGAGAGAGAAACATGACGATCACTAATGGAGAGGCACGCAAGATGGAATGGCACCTGCGCTAGTAACATCATATATAAATGGTCAAATTGATTTATAAAAAATACAGCTAATTAGCACCTTTTCAATAAAAAGATGGAACTAGATGTGGTTTGACCAAATTATTTATAGATGTATCACACAGCTGTATTGTTATTCTATGACTCGTAAGTGATGCTATGGGCCCGAATCATGAAATCTAGGAGACATGAGAACATAAGATTTGGTTCGAAAGAAATGTAAAAAACGAGGTAAACTTACACCATAACACAATAAATTTCAGTATTAAATAATTTCAAAAGAGCGTCAAGTACATGTGTATTTTCACGATTCCAATTTACTAAAATCTGGCAGGTTACGGCAAAAGGGACTAAGTTAAGTCCATAAGCAGTGACTACCACCTGCAAACCCGAAGATTGTAAAAAGGCAAACAAGCATACACATCTAGAACTTGATACAGTGTAGACAAACTATAGGTTAAACTGAACATATAGGGTAATTTGAAGGTTATTTTGATGCTTAAAATTTGCTATGTATTTTAACGGAAATCCTAAATCGATAATTTTTTCCAAGAGTACTTATTGAGGTGATTTTATTCCATCCCTGAATGTACATATAAGGAAAATAAAAACCTTCAGAAATATTAATCGTAAGAGGATTTCAAACAACCCACATATCCTGAATCCTTAACATTTTATAGGTAACTTAATTTACATTCTAATTGATAATAATGTATGAATCTTAGCCATCTAACTGGCAAGGGAACGATTGGTACGATACTACTGGCCTCCTTAACAGAAACAAATCACATTTAAAAAACACAGCTCAGCCCGTTATTATCAACGTGACTTATATATTTAACAGTTGCCACACTTCTACAAAATGCCATACATAATACCCGAAGGACAAACATCGTCTTTTGACTTCCTCAAAAATTGATAGAAGGGAATGACCCAAATCACAAATTAACATGTTTTGAAAAAAAAAGAACAAACATAGGTGATAAACAGACACATATAGCGATCAATGGATTCATTGAAAATAATGAATTGTGCCTGATTCCCGGAGAAATGTTATGGAGTGTTTTTATGACATTGGATTGCCAAAGGATGTTTATTTGAAACTGTTGTAGATTTCCATGTTTAATTCCATCCCTGAATGTACATATAAGGAAAATAAAAACCTTCAGAAATATTAATCGTAAGAGGATTTCAAACAACCCACATATCCTGAATCATTAACATTTCATAGGTAACTTAATTTACATTCTAATTGATAATAATGTATGAATCTTAGCCATCTAATTGGCAAGGGAACGATTAGTACGATACTACTGGCCTCCTTAACAGAAACAAATCACATTTAAAAAACACAGCTCAGCCCGTTATTATCAACGTGACTTATATATTTAACAGTTGCCACACTTCTACAAAATGCCATACATAATACCCGAAGGACAAACATCGTCTTTTGACTTCCTCAAATATTGATAGAAGGGAATGACCCAAATCACAAATTAACATGTTTTGAAAAAAAAGAACAAACATAGGTGATAAACAGACACATATAGCGATCAATGGATTCATTGAAAATAATGAATTGTGCCTGATTCCCGGAGAAATGTTATGGAGTGTTTTTATGACATTGGATTGCCAAAAGATGTTTATTTGAAACTGTTGTAGATTTCCATGTTTAAAATACTAAATTCAATTAAGTTTGTATAGCCAATCATCACTGTATGTCTCCATTATCATTGATATGATATCACAGACAGGAAATGAGTTGAAATTTTACACAGAAATTCTAAATAGACTACACCTATGGGAACGTTAGTTGCATTTGATCACTGAACTTGCATACTACTATTGTAGAGCATCGAGATTAATCATTCGTTTTAACACTATACACTAGAGCGGGTTTGTTGTCAACTAAAAGCGCGACAATAGAGATAACATCTGATATCCACAAAAAGAGGCGTATTTCTCTGTAGATAAACATTTTTATAATGCACAAGTGGGATCCCATTGTTCAACAAAATGTATGAGCTCATCAGATGCACAATTTAACAATAGAAATCTAGAAGAGAGCTTCTCTTTTGGAAGCTTGTTTTACTGGTTCTAGTTGTACGAATTTTTTCTTACCATACCAACATGGTAACGAGGCACCAGTTGTTTGACAGGACAAAGGGAAAATATGTAATCATTACAAGGTGTTATTAACAACATGCGAGGTATCAGGACTATTGAGTTTTATTATCTCTTGTTGCTTATGGCATAGTTAAGTTTGTAACATGAAATACCACTAATAAATCAGATAACATCATTCTGTTTTGTGGAAGAGAACTTTAACATATCATTCTGCTTATGGCAAAGTTAAGTTTGAAACATGACATACCACTAATAAATCAGATAACAGCATGTTGTTTTGTGAAAGAGAACTTTAACTGCATTTTTTTTTTCAAAATTAAAGAAAATAAAAAGCTAACAGAGCTCTTATATATTATGTGGTGCCGAACATAATGGGACAATATCACTGCATTGAATGGATCGTAAAACTATCCAATATCGAGGAACAAAAGGGACGAATTACAGACGTTCTGTAAAATCGCTTTGAACTACACTGTTCTAGAGACACATTTATTTCATTGAACACGGGCTTTGCGAGGACTTGATGTTAGGGTTACTACTACAAAGAACTGAGGCCTTGTGATGGCAGTGATTCACACCTTAAATAACAACATCCGTCCATTCTGAGAATGGCTTTAACAGATATTTCACAAACGTGTGTGATGGAACTGTTGATTCAAGGCTGGAAACAACTATCAGAACATTCCCGATAAATTTTATGACTTGATTCACACTCCGAAAATGAGAACTGACAACGTCATGTAAAAATCTATTAGTATGTTTACATTCCAGTCTTGTATAATCTTTCGCCTAGATAACAGCAGGAAATCTACATACTCTCTTTATCCAAGATAGATTCTATATCAATCATTTTAGAAAAGAAAAAGTTTAAGTAATTACATGATAATAATAAAACAACTGACATGTAACCCTTGCTCATTATTGATGACACAAGTAGCAAAACCACATGAATTCACGAGGGACAAATGCATTACACTTTTTATAATGAACTATAGTGTCTCCAGTCAGGTCTCGATCATATAACTAACATGCAGTCGGTAAAACTAATATGGAGCTGATTCGAAATAGACAACCCAGGTCAGATGTGACCGGTTAGTATATCGGGTTAACGTTGGAGTACCGGAAACAAACAGTTCCGTTTATAGAACATAAAGAAGGGTCATTAAAGAAAGACCGGAAGTTCAAATCATCATTAGAAATTGTAGCACTGTAAACAAGAAGACATCGAAGAAGTTGTCAGGATTCATGACGTCCATTAACATGCTGATGTGTAAGGCAGTTATATTCATTGATCAAAATAAAAATGGACATGCCGGGTTCGGACAAGTGCTTTGCTGTATCTACTGGTAACTTACAGGTTCACTGAAAATCGTTGCATGAAGGAAAGTCTTAGAAAATCGAACTTTGAACGGTTTTGCATCAAATTTTCAGGTGCCACAGTGCTACAGTGTAGGTCTGAATAAAGCATGCATAGAATAGTGATGTGACATGATAATTGTACGAATATTTCCTAAAAATCATAATTCGGAAAAAAACAAACAAAACAAAATTCTTTATCAGAATTTTATTAAAAAGAATTATTTGATGTGCAAAAAAACGAGGGTATGAGGTAGAGACGTAGAATACTACACTCGGAGAATGGAGCTAGTAATACAACCTGTCACTTCCTTAATTAGATATTAGTATCTCACTATATCCTCTCTGGTTTTATAAGAAATACATTTCCTATTTACGATGTTACCATGGCAACCATGTCTGTAATATGATAACGGCTAAATATGGTAAATCAGTTCCGTCTTCTATTGGCCTTGGCTGAAGATTCCCGCCATATTAATGTGTCTGTGGTGTACACAGAATGATCAATGGGAATTGAATCTATTTAACAGTTATGGTCAACTGAGCGCTTGTCATTGAAGTAAAGTGAGTTTTGATCATGGTAAGTCGAGCGTTTGTCGGTGTGCATGTGGCAGACGTTAGAGACACGCTCACATTGACATCTTTCACTTTTAACAGAACCTTTTTTTATGAGGAACTGTCATTTCATATACGATATAACGAAACAGAACAGTTTAACACCGGGGAAATTACCATATAGTAAACGTTCTTTTCTACTTAAAAAATGAAAAAAAATCACTAATAACAAAATTTGAAAAAAGTGTTTAATCGTTTTCATGTCCAACTACGTGTTTTTGGATCACGTTACCTAAACTCACAGACTGATTTTAATCAATTTGCTGTTTAATCTGTTGGTACACCCACAGCATGTTTTTCATTACCTCGAGTAAACAGGAAAACATTGCTTGGGTGAAAAATAATCACATATATGTTGAGTGATTGAGCAACGGTAAATTGAACGGAGGTAACAATGTTTGAAAATTAGAGAATCTTTATGAGTTTCCGTTTCATATGTGACCTATGAAATGAATCTAAATAATTGTATCAATCCTCTAATGAGCTAACTTCAAAATCTTTTGACAACTTTCAAAAGTCACATATAAATGAAATAGAAACGAACTCAAGGTTCTTTTTATGGCATGAACAATTGCTTCCGCAAATCTTTCAGAACAATACTAAGACCACATTATGACGTCACAATGTAATCTACGGATGTGTGGCTGCATTTCATTATTTAAATCTGACGTTACCATGAAATATTTCACCCAATAAAGTCCTGTGAAAACAACAATTCATGATTAATGCACGCTTTACATGCCTATATAGTTCTCAGAACGAGAAACATATTTTGTGTGAGAGTTAAACATGACATATCAAACAGGTTTGCTTTTGCATTTATGTTAGTTACAGATAACAGAGATTTGCATGCAAACATCATAGGCACGCTTATTTTATTGTTATCTCATGCAGATTATGATTAGATTTAAACTAAAATACATCAACAGTCAGCAGTGTAATCCGTTAAATGAAACAGCCATTTTCACGGAGTCCATCGTCATTTCTCTGTCACGAATATTTGTAATGCACGTCATCGTAATTTTGCGTAGAATGTCATTGGTGGTAGTTTAAATTCCACTTCTTTCTGGTTAATTTAAATAGTGGCTTAATAATTCTGAGGATAGAGATAAGTGTGTCAGGAAAGAGCGACTCCTTCTGACAATATGTAATTTTTATTTTCAATCGAAATCCTGAGACGTATTGGTAACTGATGACAAAGATGATGAATGAAGTTAAAGCATAAAGAAATGATAACTGTCTATGTTGCCTTCAGTCGTGCATTTCATAAACATTGTACTCTTTGAATCAAGCCAAGCTGGAAAATGCTTTGTTTAGGATACAACAAGGATAATTCATCAATATCTCGATGGTTTGCTAGTGTCGTTTTAAATCTATGTATGTAATACCTGAGTCTATCTGACTTGCTCAACGCTTTCTTTCACTCTGTGAGTCCTTTGGTTTTTTAAACAAATTATTTTACCGAGAAGTGAAACTATTCTTGTCATTTTTACACTCAGTAGTTGTAAACAAAGTCGGCATAATCGTGTGATTTGTCACTTATTACACTGTCATGAGTGAGTAATTCTGTCATGTGGAGATTTGATGTAATGTATCGACAAAACATTGATATAAATATAAAAACAGAAATATAAGATAAGAGGACAACATGGATGTTTTTATTCCTTTACAGGAGATTAGAACTTCAATTTCGTCTCATTTTAGAGTGTTAAAACGGCAAAATTCAAGATCTGAACTCCAGTATAAGCATAAAAACATTCATACGCTTCCCTTTCTCAAATAATTTTAAGTTTAAATATGATTTAAAACACAAATCAATATCTTGCTCATGAAAGAGGCTAGAAGCAGCCAGCAGGTGAGTGTACCATGGAGTGTCACTAATGTGCTTCCTAATCAGTGTGTACACTTACATGGAATAGACCCCCATGGTGCTGCAAAATAAGTTTGAACTTAAGTTATTTCTGCACCTGCTCTGAATATGACGTTATCGATACGGTAAAAAGAAAACGTAAACATGCATTATTATTAGTAAAGATAAATTAATAAACAGTTAATATCTTACTAGGGTAAGGCTGAACGACCGGTGTTGCATTACCATGAATGCTATGTTACCTACCAATGGCCTTACTCTGTGGCGGATAATGCATACCTAAAACAGTGAGGTTGACTCGTTGGCGGATGGTTTTATCTGAGGAGGAGACTTGGCACTCGTATTCGCCCTCGTCTTCAGCTGTCACGGGATGAATGTGAAGATTCCAGTGGTAAGAATCAGGTTGGTGCCCCACTGTGATGGCATCGTTACTTATGTAGAGGAAGCGACCAATCGTTAGAGGCGTCGTCGAGGGCAGCTTTCGCCATACAACCTGTTAACGTAATGTAGAATCATTACTAAATTTATCACGAATTTTGAAGTCATAGGTCCTTCCGACGATCAGTAAAGGAATATCAACAGGTTACATCGGCAGCACCTCTATTGGACAAGGTGTAACAGACATTACAATGGTGCAGCGAATAGACAAAACGCAGAAGCATTTAGATACAACATTAGCAAATGCATCTGGAATGTTTTACATGACCAGATAGGAATCGCGCAAGTAAAGCTTTGGTGAATGGCATTCACTCCTAAGTATACAGATCTATATTAAGGAAAAGTAACTTGCAGAGTTATGCAGGAAACATAACACCTATGTCACCTTTTTGTTATCGGCTGAGTCGGTAAGTCTTAAGAGGATAAAATTAAATGAAAGGGAAACCCTGCCCAGTAGATCAGTTTTATAAAGTTGCGATGAAAGCATTTGTCTTGAATGATGGTTGTCACAATTTCCGCCTTCCGACGTGTGGATAGCATGCTTGACTTTCAGAAGGAATCTGACACCACATACTATCCAAGTATTCGGAATTTAATATTTTTTTGCCGAATAAATACCATTCGGTGACATTCAAACAACAAGTCAAACGTTTGCATTGATGCAAAATTCTTCCAGAAAATATAAATATAACTCCGGAATTAATGAAAAGGGGCAAGGCATTTTTTGCTACTTTGAACACCGAATACGTATGAATAAGCAAAGATTGTTAAATAAATGCCACAACAGAAAACCAGACATTTTATTTATGACACAATTACAACATTTATTAGATGACCCTTGAAGATGGAAATTTCTAGATTTTAACATTGATCATTTGACGGCAATTATCACTTTGTGTGCGGGGGGACGATGGAGTCATGATGAGCACATGCTTGCCTTCTTTCCTTTTTGTTAACATTTACAAGTGACGACTGATATAATCATTTCAATATAATGTAATAAGCCCTGATGATAGTTTTTTGGAACTGGAGTTTTTCGTCGTTGTAACCTTTGTAACAAAGTGCATGGTGTTTCTGTTTACACGTTGGAGTAACAAAAATATATTTCATAAACATCTGTGTTAGTTTACTCCGTACGATAAGTGGTTTAATCCTTATAGCAGCGAGTTTTTACATTACGTACTTGCTTCAGCAATGTGTTATTATATCCAAGAGTTTCGTTTCTCATTAAATCCAACCCTATTCAAGTTTATGTAAAAATTATTTCTCAGCAAATATATCTTCTTAAACCCACATCTACGGTTAGGAAATACCTTTCGGTGAAAAAGTAATTACTTCTAAGTAAATTCACATTATCTTTGATATAGGGTCTAAGTAGGTTACTTCACATTGTTGTTAGACGTACCATTCGCTGGAAAGCAATCTTACTGAGGCGATAGCATGATTTAGATTTAACTTAAGTATGTATAGGGGTCAGAGCTATATCCCTATTCTAACAATAACTCCTATATATTTACACAGAGAGATAAAGAGTCGAGATTAAACCAACATTTGATTCCATACTATGAATCACAATATGTGCTCAGGATAAAAAGCTGTGAAATTTCTCACTCATAAAGAAACTAAATATGCGATAAGAACTATTTAGAATATATACTTAAGTACATGTATATATCTCCTTATCGCCGGTAAATCTAAAAGGAAGTTCACGAACGTGCATCTCGCGCCACATGTGACCAATGCCTTCTTTCCTATGTTAAAACTTCAACAAGTTTACAATTTGATCTAAAGAACCGTACACTGTGATAATTTTAGAAACGTTTTTTTCTCAGCTGGAATTTTATACCCCCACACACCGTGTTGTTCGGTATCATGTAGATTTATATATCTATCCGAACATATCTTAGAGAACAGTTGCATGTACATATGGCCAGTGTGAAAATTAGTATGAAATTATCATACAAGTAAGGTTCATTACAATTTGCAGAGAAATATCATAATACTTTCTACAGAATTAAAAAAAAAAACTTCATAACTTCTATGTCAACATTTTCGAGAATTTCAGGAATCAATCCTACGCTTTTGTTAGCAGCTAAACATGTTCACTGACAGTGAAGAAAATTTTACTGAGAGAAGTGTAAAATGTAATGTGAGAAAGAGATGGCTTAATCTCGTTCTGTTTTGAACGAACGATAGAAAATATAGAAAATATCTATTTAAAGATTAATAAAACAAAGTTACACGTGCACTACATTAATCAAATGTATTGAAGTATTAGCTTTTCTATATCTAGAACTATTAAAGTATAAAAAAATACTTTTCGCTTTAACTGCTGACGGTAGTCCTGTTTTCATTTCATACACACAAACATGATTACCATTCTACTAAATAGCTTTCGCTCATTTTTTATTCTGTACATTCTTCTCCCTCAAGACACAGTTATCGTTCCTTGATTTGAATATTACGAAATTTATTAAATTATTGATCTACAATTTTGACATTTGTGACAATGAGGGCCTTTATCATCACTGACGAGTCCTAGACGGGAGAAACAGCTCTATCCAATCCTAAATGTGTACAGTCCTTAAAAGATGCTATCTACTTGAGTATATATTGTGCTCATTAAGATTTCAGGTGGTAGTCACTGCTGGTGGATTTACTGTTTGTTATAACCTACATGCCACGTTTTACTTCACTCGAATAGTGGTACGGTTTTTTTTTTTTTTTTTTTTACTTTTGAACTTTGGTTCAAATGCTGGCCCTTAGCAACACTGAGCCGTAAAAGGACGAAACAGCTGTATGGTGCAGTATAATTAGTTGTGTGGCTCTGCTTTATCTAACTCTAACTTTGAATTAAAAAGTTCTATTCACTTATGTGTCATTTTAACAATCTTGTGATTGCAGGATTTAGACACTGCTGGTGGATGTTAAGTCCCAAAGGTTTTTTCCGCCACGTATAAGGCATAGTTCAGAACATGCATGTTCTTTAGTTTCCTTAACTCGCCTCCTTGATTTCAAACATTAGGCCCTTGGCATCACTGACAAGTCCTAGGAGGACGAAACAGCTCTGTGATGCAGTTAAATTCTTTGTTCATCTACACCATATCTATCTCTACATTTGTATTTTATTCACTAGTGTGTCTTTCGTACAATTTTCCATAAGACACCGAATCATGCCCATTGATAACCGATTTCTTCAATGAGTTTACATTGATGAACAAAAGTATTATTCTGACACAAAATTCAGTAACGATGGCATTGCATCAGTATAGGAAAATGGAATAGAGACGAGAGAACAGATGAGAAAAGAGACGTATTATGATAAATCGACGGCACCTTAAACATGCTTCACAATATGGGCATTGTAGATTAAATTCAGAGTAATGACAAGAAAGTAACAATATGTAACATGTTGTAAGACACCAGCAGTGAGGAACACAATTTGTTCGTAATGGTACTCCAAAAGTCTTTCAATTTCTTGCGACAAAAACATGTATTACAACCATCTATACAGTTATTCCATACTTCAGTACATTCAAAATATTTACATTTCAAGATAAAGTTCTCGTAGCAAGAGAACTGAGGCAATGACCTCATGAAAATTATGCACAGTTTCTTTAATTGCGATCATATGCACTAGCGTTTTTGCAGATCACGCGTATTGTTGGGTATGGTTTTCATTAAGAATTGTCTTTTCGCGTTATGCTTTATTCCTTCTGTCTTATTTTCTTTATATATCCTATAATGGCGAATGAAATTAAGTAGATAATGCCCATGATGATTGGTTTGTTGCTTATCAGTCATAATACTGTATTAACACGTGACGTGTCAAAAAATTGTTAAAAGACAGTAATTAAGTGGTTCAATGTATTGTGGCGCCCATAGCATCACCATTCGACACGCAAACCCCGCGATGTTGACAAAAAACAGCGAATGTTGATTGAGATGGAACATGTTTAATTTCATTAATTAAAATTAAAACTGTTGCAATTGGAGAATTAAAGACATTACACGCTTCCATGTTCTTATGATTACCAATTGTTAGCGACGGGAAGTTTACAAATCATGTCTTTAAGCTTAAATTCCTTAAGAATGCAAATGTCATCAGCTTCTGAAATTTCAATCAGATTGCCGTATTCACGGGACGCCGATAGACGAATTCACACCGGCACAAACGTGCTCTTAACGCTATTAAAACCGGTCATCATAAAAAGAGAAACAGCATTGAAAACTCCCGAGTGTCGTACTTCCGGCGAAGCCTTAATTGTAAGATCCTCGCTGATTGGCTTATTGGTAACCAACATGCAGGTAGTGATTGGTGCAAGAATCCTGCAATGACTTGTGGAGTCGTACAAGTTCCCGACGGTCACATAACCGGTCTTCATGTTCTGACATATGGCTCGTGAATAATTAATTACGACCGTGTTGTCAATGTCTCTAACGTATGGATTGCAATATATTGCAGTCTGTAAAATGGCATCGAAATCACGACCTGGCGTAACGATGTGTGGAATACATATACAGCGACATTGGCATACCAGTTGCTTTTTTCAAATCAATATACATTTTGTAAGCAAATATACGCTGTGGAGTGATACTCTAATCTTGCCCAAAGTGAAAATACATATAAGGTGAGAAATCTGACCTAACGTGTGTTTCTCTGTCCAGTAGGCAATGTGTCACCCGGTTTATTCTTTCAGAGTGCCTTTGCATTTTGTTGCAATATAAAATACAAAACATCATAAAACGCATTGGCATGTGTAAACCTGACACACGACTAGCACTTTGTAGATGATATACGAGCTGACTAGAGCAGTTATTAGGATATTGCCTCGGTATGATATAAGGATGTGGGAGACAGGTCGTTGTAAATTATTAATATCTTACCGTCCGTGTTCCAAGGTTTTCCACCGCACACTCCAGTATAGCTTTATCTCCCGCCATATACGTTACGTTGGTCTCTGACGTCAGGAAGTTGGGAACGGGATACCGAGAATTGTAATTATAACGTTCCCGGGCTGAAACTGAAAAAGTGGAGGAATATTTACTAACATGTAAATAAAGAGATGAAACCACAGAGAACATACGGAAATATGTTAACGAAACATTAATTTAAGAATGACTTACACAGTGATCTTTGGAAAAAGACCAGCATATGTAAGTATTGGTTAGTCCTAGTAAATAATGATGTCACTTCCTAGATCAGAATAATATTGGTAACAACGAGAGCACAAGGAATATGTGTAATGAGCGTCAAACACGTTCAACTTTAAGTCTCACGAATAAATAATATATTTCCGAATGAAATTGATATGAAACCTCTGGTGTGGGTTTTTCTTTCAGTTCTTAGCATCTTGCAAGAAATTTAAGATTTAAGAAACAAAACCTTGAATATAAAATGAACTACGATTTGTAAATATCATAGATCGGGGAAGTATGAAGCAGCAAAGATATTTCTGGAATAAAAGTTTCTTTCTTTTTGACGTTTTAAGTGAGAGTATATTTCTTTCATGCATTCATTTCGCGACACACCCCCCTCACACATTCCTCCTTCCCCCTCCAAAATGTTGCTCTTTACAGTGAGAGCATCAATTCTTCTTACATCCATTCCGCGACACACACCCCTCACACACCCCTCCTTCCCCTCCCAAATGTTGCTCTTTACAGTGAGAGCATCATTTCTTCTTACATCCATTCCGAGCGTCCCTTCCGAGATATTGCTTCTAATGCGAGAACATTTCTTCCTTCGAAACCTCTCTTTCGTGATATGGTTCTTAAATCTACAGCCAATCCTCGCACGTCCAATGTCGAACCTTCCTTGAGTTATAATAGCCCTAAGTCGACATCCTTTCCCGGACTGGTGTTGATCCCGCTGTAACCATTCTTCCACAACCTCACGAGAATCCGCCTCTATCCTGCATTCCTTCCCCTAACCCATCCCTTCCACCACCCCAATACACGCACAAGCATTACCACTCTTTCGTGTAGCGTTACCATAGTTAGATAATGTTATGTCCTCGTATCCTGGGGACATTCTAAAGTACAATACAGAGGAGTTATACATATCTTAATTTACTGCACTGAAGTTCATTTTGACACCACTTATTGCATTAAACTGCGTGAAATATCCGTTATCGTCAATCCATTTGATACACTAGTGTATATATTACAGTCTTAATTTGAGGAAAGACAGCCTCCACATACTAAAATCACCAACAGTTCAAAATCAAATTAAAACAACATATAATCCACATGTTCATTTATAATTTGATGACTTTTCTTTTCAACTAATTTTCAAAATTAATTGGTATTTATGCCGTGCATGTGTCCTTTAACAAATTCGCACCAATTTATAGCCAATAGCCTACCGTTTGCATCATTTCACTAATTGAAATATCGTTGCTCAAGTTTAATTTTAACCGGATTATATTGCAGCTCCAAGAATTAATGGCATTTTTGGGATGATAATTTATTGGGATTTCTTTGTCTTGAAAGGGTGCGGATCACAAACGAGGACAAACACATTGGCTGCTAGTCAAGGTCATATGCCGAAGAAGGACAAATTTTGATAATATTATAACATTAGAATATTACTATACATGTACACAAGTCCCCATGTTTTCTTAGATTTGCCTCAGTCTCACCAATGACTATCAGTTTTCATTGCAAACTGTTAACTAAATGCATATAGCCATTTTTTAAAATCTAACTGTATTGCACAATTGTTACATTCTTCTAGGAATCTGAGGACTGAGGGCCTAAATTGTTGAAATCTAGGAAGTTACTGAAAGAAATAAAAATTTGTCGGAATGATGACGTATCCATGTGCATTAATTTTCTAGAAAATCTGACCTCATTGGTATATACTTCTCCTGTCATTACGGAAGAGAATTTCATATGTTTTGATGGACAGATTCAGCTGATGGATTTTTTGTTCTCGACAACAAAACACAGCTAAACTATAGTCTGATGTTGGTGACTACTCGCCATGTTACGGATGCTGTGGTGACATAACAATCTTATGAATCCAGAAATACGCTTAATTAATAATCCATACAGCGGACGTCGTTGAATTTTGTGTTATTATCAAAATACATTTGTCAAACAAATGAAGACATCTCTATATTATTTGTCATTACACATTCTAGTGCAGTAAAGTAATAGCCAAAACTTTTGACGGAGAGTGAATTTATGAAATCAAATTATACCATATTGATATTTAGATGTCTTTGGCAATTAAATCATCACAAAGTTATGTACACACTCCAAAGAGACGCGTACAAGAAAAATGTCACACATCAACCAATTTTATTTTGTTCGTGTTTTCTTCTCGTTTCCTTGAATTCGAGTTTATCATCCTCTAATAGCCACGAGTAACTCCCATCATGTATATCAATACTTAGACCATTTATCGACATCTTTATTCCATTAAATGGGCTTAATATTACTTTCCTTTTAGTAATATGAAATATTTATTTACATGTACAATGTTCTACAGTGTATGTTGGGTATAAGAATAAGGCAACAGTTTTCATATATATCATGTGCAAAGGAACAGATTTCCGCGTTTTTATGAGCGAAAAAAAAATTTCAATTATTTAATGTGATATAATAGCATTATGATATATTTAGAAAAAAAAAAACTCTTTTTACGACTGTCAAGACGTTTTAGAATACTTTAATCCACCAATATTTAAAGTAAACCATAAACAGTAATTTCCTTATCACCAATATCGATGTCCTGTATTGTTCACTTGGACTTTTACCACCGTAACAACTGCCAGTGTTGATCAACACATACACAATTCGTAAAAGGGAAAAAGTGTAAAATATAGTCACACTCAAATGATTAAAACGTTATATTGTTTTAGTAATTTGATAGTTAGGTTTCTGTTAATATGAAACGCTGAGGCTCTGTTACTGATGCTTCGTAACACCATTATATTCATGACTGACAATATATAGGGGCTTCAAAACGGAATTGCAAAATTTAACAAGTTGATGCAATGCGGTTACTGACACACGCAATTAATTGAAACCCTATAGTAAATTTGTGGATAACGGTAAACACCTGTGTAGCTTTTTCACTTTTAGATGTGAACAAACTGTTAAAATCAGAACAAATTTCGCTGCAGTTTGATTGGTTGTTATACAACGGCGTCGGTTACACGACACTGTCGTAAACTTGTAAAATAAATCGAAAGTGCATGTCATATATAGCTTTCGGTACTGACGACTGAAGTTGTGTCACTTCACCACCAACATAAAATAGAATTCAATAACTCAAATAATGGTAATTTGTTGGATGAAATAAAATATTGACAGTGGAAATTTGTTATCGAGGCTGTTCGGGTCTAAATGTATTAATCACATAATTCACTCATGCGTCGAACATACGGATACAGATGATTTTTGACTTCCAAAAAAACCGTATTTCCAAACCATTTCTCATATAAAAAGTCAGTCTACCATAATGCCACAAAAAATGGACATACCGATCTTATTCTATCGGTACAGAAAACCGTTAATATGTATCCCTGTGCCTTGTTGACCTCAGTCATCTCGTCACCATATCTTTACTTGGTATGGCTAAGTCTGGCTTTCGTTAATATACAGATCTTTTGTAGCGAGGAAGAAGTAAAGCTCTATGGAGGGCGATATGTGCCAATCATTAATTCGTTTTTTCACGTCATGGTGTTTACTTCCCTGAAATGTCATTTTTTAAAATTTTGATAGAGAAATACTACAATAGAAAAAAAGGCTACAGACAAATTAAGACATTAAGTTAACGAAATCTAGATGATAACATAAAAAAAAGTAGCTGTTAACTGCGCTATCTTGATCTGCTTCACTGAATATATTCATAATATTTTGAAATAAGTAAATGGCAATCGTCCATATGGCCAGTGCAGCGTCTACCAATGTAAAGCTTCACGATTTCATTCGCACGGTGTTTCTTTCACAAAAACCAAGAGTTACAGTTATGTATTAATTACTGTAAAAATAACCTACATTCGTTCTTCCTTTTTATTTTTAGTTTGTTTTTGCCCTTTTCCTTTACCCTTATCTTCAGATTTGATAAACGGTTTGTGAAACACATAGGTAAAACAACTTGTAAACAACCTTGAGCGAGTACAGTAGAACACCGACAAAAAGTCTCCGAATAGTTATCGCGAACAGTTCATAAAGAGAACTCCTGTCCTGTTGGGACGAAACACGAACGACTTTAATGTTAAGGTCAAAAGGTGCTATAGCTTAATTTTAATTCCAAATAGTGAATTAAGAGATAAAGGAACCATTTAGTGTCTAAGGATCTTCTTAGCTCTGAAGCTATTTGTCAGATGTAGGCTTCTCACTCCTGACAGTTAGACAAGACTTACATAACACAGGAGAGTAGGCGAGGAATGTTGTAAGCATAGCATTTCGAACACTAAATGTTCTGAAGTTTATTAGAAACATGTTTCTCTTTTAATACAACAGTTATATATATATATATACCTAGGTTAAATGAAGCGAAATAAAGAAATTCTGAAAGCTCCGCATACTTCAGCAATGAAAGTCTGCAAGTGATTTAAGAATAACTAGCCAAGCAGATTTTTTTCTGTTTTTTTTTTTCTTTTTTTTTCCAAAAATTGCTGTAAGTTACAGGTAATTAGTGAAATTAAGCACCTGGTTTCCGAGATGCATATCACCGGATTAAAAGTATCCTTTTGTCTGTCGTATTAGGAGTGTGTTTAATCTTCCGGTGGAAATATTACTTCAGAAATGAGACTTTTTCTCCATGTCTTTAAATGTAGAGGCATGATAGTGTTTGATAGAAATCGAAGAAGTTCCCAAAAATGGAGATGCCAACTTTTTTTTTTCCATTTCGGACAAATAGCGAAGAACAACATAGTATTGTCATTTGCATAAGTGAAAATTAAAACGTTGGAACTACATGTATGTTTTCACACCGTGCAATTTTTAATGAAGTCAAACATAGCTACGAAACGATGTGTAGCTTCCGAACAGGAATTCATCTACA